GATTCTGATTCAAAGTTTGTTTCATGATTTATGGAAAGAAAAGTTTACCATCATGAAAAATCAATTGAATCACAGATTAGCCTGGATTTCAGAGGGAAAAAAACATTTTTTTTACTTTACAATTTAATGAATAAATAATCAAGACACAGAAAACTTACGAAAGTTTTTAAGTTTCAATGGTTTGTTGAAATGGAATCGTTTTAATAAAAATTCAAACTAAATTTCTTCTTTCAATTTCTTTCTCTCTTTCTCTCTTTTTCTTTCTCTTTCTCTTTCTTTTTCTCTTTCTCTTTCTCTTTCTCTTTTTCTCTCTCTTTCTCTTTCTCTCTTTCTGTCTTCTTTTCTCTTTTCATCTCTTCTCTCTCTTCTCCTCTCTTTTCTCTTCTTTTCATCTCTTTCTTTCTTCTTTCTCTCTTTTCTCTCTTTCTTTGAAAGAAAAGCTTTCACCATCAGAAAATCTTTGAGTCAGAATTGAATACAGATTACTATTTTCCGTTTAGGATTTTCGAATTGATGAATTTAGCTTGAGCGAATTTAAAAATTTGACAAATCTTATTCAAGAATGTAGATTAAATCTTAAACAATTATCTTTTCATTATGATTATGCAAATTATTCAGATTTAAATGTCTGATAAATAGAAACAGGTAAGTTATTAGTTTTATTTTAATTCCTATTATTTACCTGGAGATATTGAAATGATAAATGATTGTATGGTTTGATATGATATGATAATCATTTGGTTTAATTAACTTGAGGCTTGAATTATTTTAACAGTTAATTAACTTGTGATGGTTGGGGATGAGACTCAAGACAATTTGAATACATTGTATATGTGTAGTGTTACAATATTAGCATTGAAATTGAATGAAAATAAAATAATAAAAATGTTTATTTCTCGTTCGTTTATAACATTATCTCATTTTAAGCATGAATTTCATGATAATATGATGGAAATTTTGTTTTTCTAGAACTGAAAGACTTGAGAGCCATCACCAAAATGATGCTGATGATCAGGATCATCATCAACTTAATCAACCAACATTTCAACTGATAAAGCAAAAGTCAAGTTAACATTGAAAGGAACCAGTGACCCATTGAACCAGGAAAGAGAGAGAAAAATAAAGGAAGAAAAAAAGTTCTAAAAGATAATTCGAGAGAAGAAAAGTTTTGACTGTTCATCATGGATGATAACTCCAAATTCTTGGTTTTCTTTTTTTTTCTTCACCTTTTCTACAATCTTAACTGATGATGATGATGATGGTGAATGAAGGTTATATCAAGGGAGAGTAAATGATAATCCAATGTAAGTGAAGCATTAACATGATAAGTAACATGGAATCATGGAAAAAGTTGAACCAATTATATTGGACGATCGGAGGTGGGAAGATAAACCGAAAGTGGAACTAAATAATAATGAGATGTAGATGGAAACTCTGGAAAATATGTTGACCCTGAAGGGATGAATTTCGATTCTTCAAATTCTTTCATCTTCTTCATCTCTCTCTCTCTTCTCTTTCTCTTTCTCTTATTCTCTGTCTATCATGATGACTATTTTTACTTTCGCCTTTCTTTCATATTCAACCCATTTAGTGGACTTTTTCACGATTTAATCCATTCAATTGGTGAACTTTATTATGATGATATTTCAGGATTCAAGGGTCACTGGTCAATTGCCGCTGGTCATTATTATTTTTCCTTCCCTATTACATTCAACTTTATTTGAGAAAGAATAAAAAAGTTTTCTAATATTCTATTGAAAGTTTTTCTAATTTAAATGCAAAGCTAATCATAGATTTTCAAATTTACTATGATAACCATGATGATATTGAGGTTGGAAAAGGAGAATCCATGACTCACTAATATCATATATTGATAATAATAAACTTCTTTGGTGGATCAGTGGTTGGGATTGATTGTTATTTGCTGTTGGACTTATTATTTCATGATTAGTTTTATTGATTTTGTCTTCGGAAATATTTCTCCTTAAGTTCAATTATATTCAATTGTAACACATTGTTTTCATCTTGACAATTAATTTATATATTTATATAAATAAATTGTTTCCACTAAATTCAGTTAACTGATTGTAATAAATTGTTGATGAAAAATTCACTTGATATAAATAAAAATATATTTTATCTCTTTTCAGTTGTCAACTTCCGTCTTCATCATCATCATCATGAGAGATGAAGGTTATGGTAAAGAAAATTTGAGATTCGATTTTGAAAAACTTTTCTATTCTTTTTTTTCTTCCTTTCTCCAGAATCAATCAGCTCTCACATGGTGTTTCAGGATGAGAGGTGATGAAATTGATAATAATGATGACGATGAACGATAAACAATGTTGATTGGAATCATCAATCATCAATCAAGCGGAAAATGATTGAAAATGAATTTACAAAAGTTTCAACCTTCCAATCTCAAGGTAACTATTTTTGACCAGAATTTATTCAATGTCCATTTGGAAATGAGATTTTTTTTTGACTGACCAAGTGACTTGAGATCTCGTTTTTTGCTGTTGATTATATTGATTCATTGTTTTCCGATTGAACTCAGTTCAGGGCAATGATAATTGATTTACATGATATGTTGAACTAAAATAGGTTAAGGGAGATGGTGAATTGTGAAAGTGTAAAGGTTTTCCTTTGATGGATTAATCATGAAGATAAACAAAGTTTAAGTTACGATAATTAATTGAATATATATAAGAGAAATGATTAACTTGACATGGGAAGATATTCAATCATCATCATCATCAAGATGAGAAACAAGAAGAAGATAAAATTGAAACCATGAGATAATTGAATATCTTGAGTGAAGATAAAGGTTGATAAAAAGGCTGATCTACTGAATAATTGAATGAACTTTTTGCTCGCAACTTTATTTTTTGCTTATTCGTTCACATGTATTAAAGAGAAACTCATCATCGACTTTAGAATCTTGTTATAAAAAGTTCTATCGAAAACTTTTTGTTTTCTCCCATGATAAAAATCGAGAGAGAGAGAGAGAATTTCTTTTCCATCATCAGCCCTCATCATCTGGAGCATCTTTTCAATCAGTTAATCACTTTTAACCCTAATGCCTGATGATTAAGACAAACCAATTTAAACTTTCTTTCTGTTGTTCATTTATCGTCTTACAAGGTTACAGATGAAAATGATGATGATGATGATGATGAAAAACTCCCTCAGTGTTACATGGGCGATAGGGGGGACAAAAGTTCTGCTCTGAATCGGATTAGAACAGGTTGATTCACCAAGATTGATGTTAGAACAATCTGACAGACATAAGTTAATTCCGATAGAACTTTTTTCTTTCTCGAACTCAAAGACTGTCAATGACAGAGTAAGAGAAGGAGAAAGGAGATGAGAAGATGAAGATGATGAGGCAAAGAAGATGATGTTGCTTTTGTAATGAACATCTCATAGGATTAGATGATAAAGGTTAGGATATAATTTTTTTGTTTTCTTTCACTTGATTCCATTGGTGAAGAAATTTGTTGAAGAGAAAGAAGTCTCTCTCTCTCTCTCTCTCTCTCTCTCTCTCTCTCTCTCTCTCTCTCTCTCTCTCTTCATACTTTATGGATGAAGATAAGATGTGATAGAGAAAGAAAAAGGTAAGATGAGGATGATTAAGATGATAAAGAAGAAATTTGATTTTTTTTCTTCTCTTTCGTTATCATCTCTTTTTTCATCATCTTGAAGATTTCTTTTTGTTATTGTTTGTTATTTTCTCTTGCAATTGAATTAAGTTATGGGTTTATCCTTTTTTTTTGTTCTTCTTTCTCATTCCAACTCATATTATCATCTTCCACCATCATTCTGTTCATTTGTGATCAATGATGATGATGGTTAGAGAGAGAGAGAGAGAGAGAGATTAAAGCCATAAGAAAGGGGTGGAAGATGGAGATTGAGAGAGGAAATGTTTTCATACCAATAACTAGATTTGTTCCAGTTCCATCACAAACAATATCTTTTTTTTCACCCATCAAACCAACACTTTTTTCATCCTCATCCTTATTGTTTATCTCTCTCTCTCTCATCCTCTATGTCGATAATAATAAGTCTATGATGATAATATCATCAATGGTTTAATCATAATGGTGTTACGATAACATGAAACAATTTGCTCTCTCAACTTTTCAAAAGTTATCATTAATTTAATTACCACCATCATGAATCAATCAGTGAATTCATCGCTTGTTGATTGTAATTAAATTAACTGTTTTAACAAAAATTTTCTCCCTCGCTCTCTAAATTTATATATTGGATTCTAACATTTTAACAATCATTAACAAGAGTCAAAGTTAATTAAGTAGACTATCTTGATAATGGAGGATTCCTTAAGAGTGAAGGATTAATCTTAATAAAGGATTATATTAACAACACTTATTTACTATTATTATCATTAGATTAACTTGAGAAAAGATCAGATTGATTTGTTGATCAACTTTTTGCTCTAATCAAAGTTAAAGTTAATTGAATGTAATCATTTGACAGTAAAGTGGATAATCTGTACTTCTCAATTTAGTTCGTAACAAGAATAAGGGGAGAAGAAAAAAGTTCAACAACCAAATGGAAAATTTATCATGAATACTTATCATGGGAGGAGAAAATTCTGACAGAAGAAAAAAATGCAAACTCTGGTATTGGAAGAAAAGAAATGATTTCCTCTTTTTTTTCTTCTTCTCTCAAGATTAATATTCGAGAGAATTTCCGTTTTTTCTTTCTTATTCTTCGTTTTATCTTTGAAGAGATAAAAGTTCTTAGAGCATTTTCAACATGGAACAAATTTTTTTTCTCCTTTTCTACTTGTTCTATTATCCACTTTTTAGAGCTCATGGTGAATTCGATGAAGAGAGATATGAGAACAAAAAATAAGAGTTACAGTTGATCTCTTGATCGAGTGGTGATGATGAAAAGTTTTCAAGTTTCCAATTTGAATTTGAATTCTATGATTAAACCTTGAATTAAATTTCGAGTTGAAAACTTGGCCTTACCTGAGCGAGTCCCATGTTATCAGCATTCCAAGCAATCATTGGTATACCAAGATAACCAGTTAATTGCATTAGATATTGAGTTGCCGCTGCATTGGTACCATAGGTGTCAGAATTGGTCATATAAAAAATAGTCGACACTCCGTTTGGCAGTAAATGGTGACACAGGTTGTGAAGGACATCGGTCGGTGAAGGGTTAAGTGGCATAAGGACAACATTGGCATTGGCGATTTCAAAATAATTGGTAAAGTTGTGCTGATCTCGTCCCTTGGTTAGCGCATCGACGGCATCTTGTAGGGTTTTATTGTACTTTCGTGCCAAAGTTTTCAATATTGTTGTCGGTAAAATGGCACCAAAAACGATCTTTTGAACGTTAACGGGAAAATTTCGATGATGGTGATGATGATGTTGTTGTTGTTGACTAGATGATAATCCGGTTGAAAAGTTGTCTATTGATGATGGAGATGAAATTAACTGAGAATTTGCTAAATTATCAACTGATGGCGTTTGTTGAGTTGTACCAATTTGGATTGTTGGACGTCGACGACAATTAACACATGGAATTAGCAAAGAAATTAAAATTAACACAAAGACGATTAGTTGATTGATTGATTTAGAGGTGATTTTTGATTCTCTCGATAACCAACAACATGATAACGATGATTTTGACCTTTCACCTACGATAATGGCCACGATCGGTATCAACATATTAACAGGATGGAAAACGTTTCAATTTAATTTCGTTGAATTTTTATTTACTTCTAATTGGAATTAAATCAATTTAATATTCACAATGATAAAGACAAGAAAAAAGTTTCATTTATAATTTTACTGTTAATGGTCAATCAATATTGGACAATTAAAGGTTCAATTGATTAAAGTTGAACAAGTGATTAGTTTGAATGAGTAATCTAAAGATGAGAAATTTGAAATTTCTTAGACTTAAAGGGAATATCAGATTTACTGAGATTCGAGGGATTTTCATGCGATTTTTGTCATGATAACTTTATGTCAACATCGCAAGTAGAACTTGTTATTTTTTCAACATTCTCCTCAAAAGATCGACTTGAATCTTTCAGTTCAAATTCGATTACTGAATCAGTTTTGTTCTACTTGAATCGATCAATTCTAATGGAATAACCTTGTATAGTCTCGCCATCTATTAGCGATTTCAAGGTAATTTCTATTTTTCGATTATTTTTCTTAGCATCTTCTTTTTCTCTCTCATTTGTGTCACTTATTCGGTAGACCTTCAATTAGAGTATGAAAATTTGATTCAATTCGATTCGATTCTTTATCAGCTTGTTGATTATTCTTTCTAATTAATCAAGTGAACACAAGGAAACACCGATAAGTAACTCAATGAAATTCAATACCAAATGACGTCGAAAGTTTTGTAAAACTGTTCAACTTGCTGTTCGATTCGTATTTGATTTTCATGGGAAATTTGTAAGCGCGTAATTCAAATCGACTCGAAGTGCTAAAGAAAAAAGGAGAGAGAGAAAGAGAGATGATAATGATAATGATGATGATGATATTCGAGGTACAGTAATTAGTAAATTGGATTGAAAGTGAGCCATCGAAAAACAAGGAGGTCAAAGTTGGGAGAAAAGATGAAGAGGGAAAAATTCATGTTATTCAGTAGAAAGGTAGGAAAATGATGATCATCATAATTATCCTCATCTTTATGATAATGATGATGACGATGATGATGATGATGATAGCACAGAAAGGGAGAGGAAGAGAAAGTATATTAAGATAAATTAGAAAGTGAAAACTAGTTTACTAAACAGTCTGAAGATACAACAAGGTCTCAAATCCATAGCAGATTAACATCAATTTTAGTCTCTTCCTATCATCATCTTAATCACTATTAATTAACTGATCTAAAAAAATTACTAATCCGATAAAAACAATATGATAAGCATGTAAACACCGTAATGAATCATGGATGCAGAGAGTGAGCGAGAGAGAGAGAGAGAGAGAGAGAGAGAGAGAGAGAGAGAGAGAGAGAGAGCAAATCAGGTTCGTCTTCAAGGCTTGAGGGTTTTGCTTCCTCTTGCAAAGAATAAAAAAGAATATTTTTTTCCAATTCGAATAAGTAGCAAGTGACTCCTCCTTTTGTTGATGAACCTTACAAGTGAACGAGTGAGAGAGAGAGAGAGAGAGAGAGAGAGAGAGAAATGAAGGAGCAAAGTGAGCAAAGCAAATCTCTCATTATCTCTCTCTCAATTTACTCTCTCATCAACATCAATTACTTTATTATTATGATCATCACTCTTCTTGCTGGTCTCTCATAACCACTTTTAATTAAAACTTTCTATGTGTTTACATTTGTGTAACTGTTTTCATTTTATCAATAATTCACTAATTAAATCAATAATTTTCACGTTAAAATAACAATAACTATGACCCGAATCGCAGGTAATTATCCGAGTCGATCTCAGAATGGAAAAATTGAACTTCGAATTTTAAATCAACCCGAAGAACAGCACAGGTAAGTGATGTTGTTTTTTTCTCTCTCTTCGATTAATTTTCACAATTAACTAATTGATTGTTGCTATATGGTTACACTCTCACTCTCATTCTCTCTCATTCTCTATCTATCTCTCTATTATCTCATCTTAATTATCTCTCGACAATTATATTAATATGAAAGAGAGAAGAATATAAAAATTGTTCTAATTGTTTATCTTTTCTTTACCATTCAGAGCTCGATATTTAACTGAAGGAAGTCGAGGTTCAATTAAAGACGGTACTGGTTTAGGTCATCCAGTGGTCAAGCTATTTGGTTTTAATGGATGTACAGTTAAACTTCAGTGTTTCATTGGTCATGATAAACATATCGGTGTACCCCACCTCTTTTATCAGGCATCAAGAATAACCGGAAAAAATTCAACTCGATGTTCATTTCAAAAGGTTGAAGGAACCGCGGTCATCACACTGGACCTTGTGCCCGAAAATAATATGCAAACAACAATTGATTGTATTGGCATCTTAAAGGTAAATTGAATACAATTAAAAAGTAACATTTAAACATTTTGATTGTGTCAAGTGTCATCATTTTTTTTCACAACTCACTCACTCTCTCTCTCTCTCTCCTCTCACTCTTTGGGTGAATGGTCAGTTTAATTGTTGAATGAAACGAGGAAAAAATCAATGGTCAGTTTTGATCTTTTTTCTCTTGTTTATTTCTCTCTCTTTCTCTCTCATTTACTTGACCATTGGACTTGATTTGTTTTTGTTTACATTTAGTTTTCCAATATCTTCAAGGTTTTTTTTTCTTCTCTCATTATCTTCCTTGTCTTCACAACTATCCCCTTCATCTTCATCTCCCTCCGCTGGACATCAACAATTAGTAAATTTGTTTATCTTTATCTTTCTGTGTCCTTCAAGACCCATGAGATTACAATTAACTTAATCAATCGTTTGATCAATTTGAATATTGTTGCAACTTTTTCTTTTCAAATTTTTTTTCTCTTTACAATTAAGTTTCACTTTTTTTGTTCGTGGTGACATTTTATCACCAATGGTGCTTTTCATTTCCTTGTAAACGAGCAGCAAAAAAAACCCACCACCACCACCACCACACATACATGATGGTGATGATTGTTTATTAGAATCTCAATTATTCCCCATTTTCTTGATTATCATAATCAATATGTATTTGAACACATCGACCCTTAATTAGTGTCATACTTAATTGTGCCAACTTTGTGATTTCATTACCATAAAACATCAACAAAATTAACTGTTGAATAAAATCACAACCATCAACCACCAGCATCTCCATCATCATCATCATCATCATCATCACCTTCAACAAGTTAAATTAACTGAGAGAAAAATTGAAAACAAAAACCACCATCAATCAAACTGAATCAACTGAAAACAAAAACAATCAACATCAACATCAACAAACTAATCACACTGACACACAATCAATTGTTTCAACTAATCAAAGTTAAAATCGATTAACAATTTATCTTATTTTTTGTTTGTATTTTCTTTTCTCACTCTCTCAATCAATTTCTCATCTTCTCTCTGGGTCGATTTGTTATTCTCGAACTTGTCCTTGAACATGGAAATCTACACAGGAGCGCAATGTCGACGTTGAACAAAAGGTACTTCGATTGAAAAGTTCTAATGGTATTTACAATAATAACGGTGAAACTGTGAGTTTTCCAAGTAAAAAACGTTGTGCCAAATGTCGTCTTGTGTTTCGATGTAAAATACCGGGTACCAATGAGATTTTACAAGCTGTAAGTACACCGATACTCTGTACTCAGCCTGTTGGAACACCGGAAATTTGTAAAATCTCATTGTCCGAGTGTAAAATGACCGGAGGTAAAGAGCTATACATTATTGGGAAAAATTTTCTCAAAGATTCCAAAGTAATCTTTAAATCAGACAATTGGGGAAAAATAATTGAACCTGACAAAGAGTATCTTCACTCAGTAAGTTTAAATCAGTTAATTTAGTTTAACTAATCAACTAATTTGATTTATTTTCCAATGGAAAATTTAATTTCAATCCAACATACACACACACATACAAAAATCTAAGAGAAATATCAATAAATATTTTCTTCTGAAGAGAATCAAAAACATTCTCACCATTGAGAAGATAGAAAATTTCATCGAAATTCAGAATCAAAACGATAGAAAATAGGGAATTTCGAACTTTTTTTTTCTTCTTTCAAATCGATCCAATTTTCGCGGTTAAACTTTTTTTCCCTCTCTTTGATTTTCGTTCATCTTAATTAACTAAATTAACTTTTTTTTTCTCTCCATATAATAATCAATTCACTTTACTATTAATTAGAAATCAAATTAACTGTGAACAAATGAAAATTTCAAGAAAAATTTGATTAACTGTCTTTATATTGATCTTTAGTTTTTAATTGAATCAAATGATCAAAAGTTTAATTGTCACAATTACAATTAGAGTGATGAAATATTTTCATACTATTGATATTTGATTATTTCAATGGAGAGAATTAAAAAAAACTGTTACAATTTAATGTGATTAAGCCTTAAGCAATTAACGAAAACAAGCTTAATCTATTTGAAAATTACTTTTTCAACAATTTAAAAAGAATCAAAAAGTTTACAATTTAATTTATTAGAGTGAATTAAATTTAATCCAGTTAACAGGTTAGTGTTTAAAGTAAATTAAATAACCTTGATGGTTAATTGATTTGTTGATCATTGAGAATTAAAGTAAAAGTTTAATCACTCGATTGATTTTCTTTCACCACCACTAATTGTAAACAATTAAATATCTCATGTTAATTGTTATAATGTACAACACATAATCATCACAATTAACCAATAGTTAAATTTAAACTGTTAATAATGATACTGATTCACTTTCACTTTAATCACACAAATGATTACGAGATTGATTAATATAAAATTACTAGTAATTAATTAATTTGATTTGATAACAAACAAAAAGCAAAAACTAAAACAATAACAATCAGGAAGGGGAAATAAAATAGTAAATCAGTTAATTAGTTAATCAATGAAAACATGATAATGATAAAGAAAATCAATCTTGATTAGTTAATTGTTTGTCCATTGAACTCTAATTTAGTTCTCGTTGATTAAAGTTACTCATTATTTTGTATTAATCTCATACAACAACAACAATTAACATCGTAATTATATAATCATTCATATATATAATTATGAACAGTAATGATTTGAAAAGAAACGTTAATTGTTCACCTTGAAATGGTTAATTAGCTAATATATAATAGCATAAATCCACAGGTATAGACAATAATTAACTAGATTAGTGGAAAAATTCATTCTAATCACAGAGAATCTTAGTTTTCTTACCAAGTGGAATGTTGATTTAATATTGATATTAAATTGATAATTTGAATGCTCAGGTTTTCTGCTTATTCTCAATGTTAGTTGATTGTTAATTAATCATCCTGATCATGTAAGTGTCTCAGCTAATTCTAGGCTAATCAGTTGATCAAAATTTTCCATTCACTTGAAATGATTTCTTTCAATTTTCTGGGCCCATGATAATAACCTTTAAATGCGAATGACAATTCTGTCTATTAAGTTCTCAATGTTTATATTATTATTTGATTGCTGAATTTCAACTGATCATTTTGTTTTCTTGCTGCTTCTCTCTCTCTCTCTCTCTCTCTCTCTTGCTGTTTATTTATCAGTTTAATTAATTGTGATTAAGATGATGATAGGAAGAGGATAAATAGATGTTTAATCTTCTATGGGTTTGAGACCTTGTTTTACCTTCGGACAGTTAAACTAGTTTTCACTTTCTAAGCTATCATAATAATATACTGTCTCTCTCCCTCCCATCATCATGAAGATAATGATGATAATCATCATCTTCTTTACTCCTGAATAACATGAATTTTTCCCTCTTCATCCTCTCTCCCAACTTTGACCTCCTTGTTTTTTGATGGCTCACTTTCAATCCAATTTATTAATTACTACCTCGAATCATCATCATCATCATCATCTCTCTCTCTCTCTCTGCTCCTAAAAATCAAGTCTTCATCAATCTAATTTGTAACATTAACCTTCATTTCTAAACAATTTCTTCAGCAATTTAGTGAATTAATTGTTGATTGAGTATCATTTTCTTATGGATTATTAATATAAAATGATTACCATGATTATGCATTAAATTATATCTGGATTAGCGATTAGGAATTACCATACAATGATAATTGTAAATGACAATTTCTCTCTACCTCAAAACGAAAAAAACAGTAAAATCGCAAAATTATATTATCCAGAATTAGAAATAAAACCAAAACAACAAATGAGAGAATTATTTTTAAATATAATCATTAATCCAACGTTTTCTTTTTCTTTTCTTCCTAATCCCAATAGTCTCATCTAATCTGTACAATCCCTCCTTATGATGGACCAAATGCTTCACTACCTGGGTACTTTACGATCTCAATTAGCGTACGAAGTGGAGGTAAATACTCCGATTCTCATGTATTCAATTATGTAAATGATTCAAAAGGTAAGACAAGAGTTTCAGCTGAAATGGTCAATTTTTCAAAATTTCGGTGAAAAGAAAAAGTTCAATTGGCTATTTCTCTTTTTCTCTCATTATTATTATTATTATTATCTTATTACATTAGTTGTCCAATTATGAAAAAAGAAAAAAGTGAAAATAAAACCTTTTCAAACCAATAGAACAGAAAATAATCTAATTGATGTGTTCATACATTTACCATGAAATGAATAATCTGAACAATCGTACAGTTGATATTAGCAGAAAACGAAAAGTTTTACAACTTTTATCGTTTTTCTTACGATTTCTCAGATTATCATTGATGTTCGCAAATCTTTTCCACTTTTCGACACTTACACACCAATAGGTGTTCGACAACAACAAACTCCCATATGAAAGTTTCGTTTTTTTCTCCCTAGAAATCGACAATTAACCAACGATGGATTAGAACTTTTCGATGGCAGAATAGATTATCGATATAATTTCTCCTTACGAATGATAATCATCATTATCGCTTCTTTTTTCTTCATCATCATTCAGTTTTTCTTATTCTCTCATCATCATCATGTTATCATTTTTTTTCTCTCTTTATTCTGTTGATTAGATTTGCGTTCTCAAAGATTTATCATTAATCCTCCTTGACCTAAATTACGATTCGATAGTTTGATTGTTTCCATTAGTTTGTTTTCTTTTTTGTTTCTGCTCTTCGTCACATCACAAATATCAGAGAATCATCATAGAGAGAGAGTTACAGTTAAGTCAGTGAAACGCACTAATTAGTTTAATTGAGGCGAAATTGACGAAGAAATGCGAAAAAAAAAGGTTAATCAATTTAACTACCTTTAGTGTTGATTAGATTAAATCACATGGGAAATTTTTATAAATCCGATCTGTTAATTTTCACCAATTTTTATCATTCATCATCATCATCAAAACATCATCAACAATCAACATCATCATCAACAACAAAACAAAAACACATCATCATCTCATCATCATTTTCTCATCTTCACCATTTATATATTATTTATAATAATAATCGTTGTCAATCAATCATCGTCATCCATTAATTTTGTTTCCTTGTTTGTTAATTGTTATCATTAATTGTTTGTCTTTCTTTCTTTCTCTCTCTCACTCACTCACTCTCTCTTTGTTCGTAATGTCGTTCTTGTTAATTGTCAACTATCTTTGGTGTTTTCGTCAATCTCAACTTTTATTTTCTACTCTCAATTGTTTTATATGTTTTTATCTTTACCATTTCCTCGTCCTCATCCTCATCCTCATCCTCATCATCACTCTCACTCTCTATCATCCTTATCTCTCTCTCTCTCTCTCTATCTCACTCCATTCTCTCTCTCTGTTTGTCCTTCTCTTCCTCTATCTCTCTTTTTTACTTTCTCTCTCTCTCTTTAACTATAACCTTTCTTCCTTTTCTTCATCATCTTTATCATCTCTCTTCTTCTCTTTCAGAGTTATCCTCATAATCTTTTGAGGCCTTTGACCGATAAAAAAGGATTCATTTCTGAGGATTGAGAGGAGAAACCAATTTGTGGATTGAGATTAGACAAGGTTTAGGTAAAACATTATTGGATCAATGTTAATCAGTGATTATCTCTTGTCTTATATTTAATATAATTCACTGACTGTTGTCATCTTTTTTTTACTATTATTATTTACTGATGAATGATGATTGTCATTAAGAAGCAGAGAGAGAGAGAGAGAAGAAGCAAAAGAAAAATTAACTTAATTCAGTTTGTCTAATTGATTAAGATGAGATTATCATCAGTATATATTTGCTATACAATCAATTGATAAAAATACAATAGTAATTAAATTTGATTAACTGAGTGAGAAAGTGAGTGGTAGTTGCGATTAATAATTAGTTACATCTATTAAGAAATTAATGATTAGATTATATTGCCAACAACTCTTAAGAATTAGTTATTATAATCAATTGATAGTTAAGAAGAAGAAGAAGAAGAAAAAAAAATATAATTAGACAACAATTAAGCTTTTAGATTTACACTTAATCACCTGAATCAATTGTTTAGGAGACAATTAGTTAACTAATCGTTAAATTTAATTTCTCTCTCTTTCACTCTTTAACTTGCTCAATCCTTTTAAACTTTTAATTTCTTCAAATATTTAATTGTGTTTAGAACGTTTTTTTTTCATTATTATTATCATTAAATTGCTAGTTAATTGCAACTCGTTTAATTGTGAATATCTATTATATATTTATTTGATCGTTTCCACAGACAATTAACTTAATCAACTGCTAATGATGATACTTCTTGAACGCTTCCTCATTCTTGTCTTTTCAATGTTTTTGTCTCAATTTTTAATTCAGTTTCTGTTGATTATGATTGGTGAAAATCTGATTAATATAAATTCATGTTTCGCATTATTAGTTAGTTGATTGTTACTGTTTTCTTTATGATTATTTTCATCAATCAATTTGATTGATTTGAAAAATTATCAACGTTCAAAAGTAAACAATTGTATATATATTTAATTCATATTCATGTTCAATCATATTGTCGTTTAATTAACAATTAGATTTAAATTAGATTTGATCTTGATTTGATTCGGATTCAGATTTGCTTTTTCTAGTTTTTTGATTTTTGATTAAGGATTATTATTAATTTGATTTGGTTTCATTTTCTGTTGCTGTTGTTAATTGTTTTGGAAACGTTTATTTATTTAGATATCACTTTACGGTTGCAATTAATTAATTGTTGTTGATTATGAATCCTTGATTAGAGGCTCAAAGGTTAATCATCATTATCTTGATACATATAATTTGTTGCCACCATATATACAATATACACTTCCAACACATACAATTTAATTACAAATGTAAACAAATTTTTTTACTCCAAACAATTAACTGTAATTCCCTTAATTCATTTTAATCACACAAATAATTTTGTTTAATTCCTATTGATTTTTCATTTTCTCATTTTTAACTTTTTTTTTACAAAATAATTATTGGAAGAAAACAAATCTAATTACAAAAAAAATTCTTAATCAAATATAATTAAATATAATTGATTGTTTCTCCTCCCTTGCTAGTTAATTCACTGCTTCAGAGATCATTGCCACTCAACCACAGTAACGACAATATGATTAACCAGCATCATCAACAAACGCAATTACAACAGCACCATCAACAGCAGCAATCATTATCGATATCGGCACAACCACCACAACAACAACAACAACAACAACAACAACAACCGCAGCAGCAGCAGCAACAACAACAACAGTATGGAAATCAAAATAATATCAATGATAATGGTATTGGTCAGTATACAACGGACATGATGATGTTACCAAGTAAACATGAGGCAGGTTTCCTATCACATAGTGGGGGTCAACTTGGGTCAATGATTGATAATATTAAACAAGAATCAATAATCACTACCCCTGGTATTGATACTACGGTGGGAATAACGGTCACACCGATGGGTCAAGTGGGAAAAACACTTTTGGGTGTTCCAACTGGACTTTCCTCGATGGACATAAGTGGTCATTATTATTCGGAGGACACTTTCCTCTCATCGGATAGTTCAGCTATTTCTGAGACCATATTAGGATCATCAGAAGATTCATCTTTCTCTTTTCTATTTCCGCCATTTTGATTCTTACTTCCTGTTTATCAATTCTTGAACTTTTCTCTCTCTCTCTCTTCTACCTTAACAAACAAAATATCAATTATTTTTTATTCATCTTAAGATATATATAGTTATATATATATATTATTTAGTTAATCTTGATAATAATAACAAAAGTCTTAAATAAAATTAAGATTGAACAATTTAATGTAATCTGTATATTAAACATCCCAAAGTCTTAAATCAATTGAAACAATTGTTGTTTCAATTATGATGAGATGATGATCAATTATTTTTACCGATTTGGGATCAGAATCAATAACATTTTAATGGTGTTAATTATAATTTAATTTATTATTATTTCTTTTCTCTTTCTCGAGAGAGAGATTCAATCATTCAAAACAATTAACAAAATTAAAAACTTTGTTAACTTTTCAATTACTTTCGACCAATACAATTACTATTATTATCTAATTGTAATTGAAAGTTAACTGTCAAAGTTATCATGGTGAATCTAAATTGTATAGACAATGTAAAGAAACGAAATTTAAAGAAAGAAAAACAATAATTAATTTCTCTCGACAATTAATTTAAATTGTGAGAACAATTTACATTTTATCTTACTTTTTTTCTTCCAATGCAGTGCCATCTGTCGATCGATTTTTTAACTTTTCTCTTTTTTTCTAAATTTTTTTTCTTTTCTCTTTATTATTTATGTTGTTTATCTTTGTGGTCTCTGTTTATTAATCACAATTACAATTGATCTTTTTTTTAATTGTTTCTTTAATTGATACGATTTTTTCTTCTTTTTTTATTTAATTTGATTGTTTAGGTTTTTTAACTGCAAGTGATTTAAGGTGAAAGCTTTGCACATCTTTACACAATCTCTACTCAAAATGGCTGCATTACCAAGAAGGATAATCAAGGTAAGCAAATTGTGAATTTCAATTTGGACAAAACAAATTGACAATTTTCTTTTAATCAATTTTGCAATTTTCTTCATTTTCTATCTTCCTTTTCTTAATTCTATTCTTCACCATGAAACTATTTTCCTTTCAATTTCTATATTCTCTTTGTTTGCTTTATTGATAATTCGCTGTTTTCTTCTGATGGTGCTTTCTCTTTTTCTCTTTCTCTATTTGCTCTCTTTCTCTGTCTATCTTTTTTATTCTCTATTCATGTTTCGCTAATTGGTCTTTTTTTTCTTTCTCTTTTTTTTCTTCTCTTTCCTTGTCATCAATTTTTAGGAAACTCAAAGGTTAATGGCTGAGCCTGTACCTGGAATCAGTGCTATTCCCGATGAACATAATGCTAGATACTTTCATGTTGTAGTTGCTGGACCAGAAGGGGTATTTAAATTACCTTTCATCTTCTTCTCTCTCTCTCTCTCTATCTTTTTCTCCTCCTCCCCACCCCAAACTGCTCCTCTTGTCCCGTTAACTTGATTGTCTTTCTATTGGTTTATTTTATTATTTTTTTGCTAGAAAACAAACAAACTAATTTACTCTTTTTCTTAAAATCTTCAATAGTCTCCCTTTGACGGTGGTGTATTCAAATTAGAGCTTTTCCTTCCCGAGGAATATCCAATGTCTGCTCCCAAAGTTAGATTTATGACAAAAATTTATCATCCAAATATCGATAAATTGGGTAGAATTTGTTTAGATATTCTAAAAGATAAATGGAGTCCAGCTCTTCAAATTCGCACGGTTCTATTGTCAATCCAAGCTCTTCTATCAGCACCAAATCCTGATGATCCATTGGCCAATGATGTTGCCGAACAATGGAAAGTTAATGAAACCGAGGCTATTAAAACAGGTAAACATTTACTCCAACAAACGAATTTCCTAATGATTGTAACAAATCATAATCGATAAAAAACAAACAAAACGTTCTAATGGTTGAATTTTCTTTTCTCTTTCATTCATTTTCTCTATTCAGCTCGAGATTGGACTAGACTATATGCATTACAATAAAGTGTATGTGTGATGCTTGAAAGAGATTGAAGGATAAATTTCTCAACTCGAACAAGAAAAAAAAAATACTATATACCAACATTCTGAATTAAGAAATTAACTTGGAGGATTATTTTGTGGATGATTAAGCTGTTAATCTTAATTGTTTACTAATTTTTAATTCCTTCTAACCACTTACTTTGATTTCTTGCCTTTATTTTCACTCTCTCTCTCAACCAAATACAACTTTTCAATATCATTTTCATCTCTTTCTCTTTTCTTGATCTTGTTTAATTATCTATTTCTCTCTCTCTTCCAACACAAACAAACAAAAAACCAAACCTTTTCTAGAGATATACTTACAATTACAATTATAATTGATGAACAATTTAATTCAAATGAGAAAACTAACATTGGGTGTATTTAATCACTTAACGATAGTCATTAAATTGCTCCGAACTTATAATGAAAAAAAACAATTAGTTTTTTTTTCTCTCAAATTTATAATGTCAAGTGTATGGAGTTTGGATTATCTCTTATTTCCAATGGAAAGACAAACATTTTCGATTATTCATCAACCATCATGTTCTCATTGGCATCATCATCATTGTTATCGTCGTCATCCTCATCTGTATCGTGGTCATTTGGATCATCCGGATTACCGAAGTTAAAAAGTGGCACTTGACGTTGACGGAAAGACTCAGGAAAAGGGATCAACAATTGTCTCCATATAGCGAGGAAATTTGGATAATTGTCACCTCCACGTCTAATTATCTTGTACCAATCATCGGCAACCAGGATTAAATAAGTGATTATAATGATTGTCATCATTAGATTGAACGCTCGACCAATTTGTGGATCCTAAAAATTGGAAACAAGGAAAATTGAAGTTGTAATGATGATCAAATAATGGATTTGGATTAATGATTCTCGTTTAAGAAAATGGATTAACTCTTACTCTCTCATAACGTCTTGCCATGAGCATGAAAGTCCGATTCTTACCGATTTTGGATAATATCAATTGCCATATGAAGATTTCAAATAATTGCCAAATTTCAAGAGAAACATAATAATCAACAATTACTGGATAAAGTGGATCAAAGTCCATCTCTCACTTGAACTAAATCTACGTCAATGTAAATATGATTGATTTGATTTACAATCATGTTTACAATTAGTCTTAATTTGTCCATAATTGTTGATAAACAAAAGAAAAAGACTAAACAAGTTACCTAATTGTTGTAATTATTTTTTATTGTTTAGATTTTGTTTTGTTAAGATTTTCGTTTAAATCAATCAGCTGGATAATGTATCGATTTAACATTCGATCTATCGAACATTTTTAATTGTTAACTTAATCACAATTTACTTAATCTCACGTGAGCTTTACCTGTTTCAATCAGTTGAGCTCATCGATTTGCAATCGGTGCCAATAATGAGAAATCACGTCCTGTTAGATTGAAGTGAAGATGAAGGAGATAAATTTCCTAGAAAAGTTTCATTCCTAATTAACAGCTTAATCATCATAATTATGGAAAATACCTCTTGAGTTGATACACTAATTAGTCTAACTACCAATTGAATATTGAGTAGTTTCTATGATAATTAGTTATTCTATTGTTTCTTTTGTTTACTTGGAACTTTTTTTTCATTCTTTCGGACAATGGACACAACGGAACCTGAACCAACACGATTAACATGGAGAGAAAAGCTGAAGTTAATTAAGATCCTTCGTATTGATATTTTCGTCATGTTTTTCTTCATTTCAACCACAATCAGCGGTGTGAGTCTCAATCAACTTGTCGAGGATAAAATTTGTCTCAACGAATTAAATCTTAATCAGTCAATTTGTCTCAATTTGGAACACACCGATGCCGACCAAGAAGAGGCCAAAAATTATGTCCTCTCAACGGCCGCTGTTTTCAAAAACTATCAAACAATAATCTCCACGGTTCCCGGAATGTTTTTATCACTTTTCATCGGCTATTGGATCGACACTTATCCAAGTCATCTGAAGTATATTCTTGCAGCTCCAGCATTGGGAGGGACCATCGGGTCAATAATTGTCATCTACAATTGTCTACATTTCAAATTAGGTAAATTTTTCTCTCAAATTTTGTCCACTAATCATTGGGAGAATCAAATTAATTTGTAGTTTTTTTCATTCACAGATTATATGTTTCTTTTAATATCCGATTTAATCAGAGGGCTTAGCGGTGGATTTGTGATAATATACACTGGCGTTTATACTTATATCGCCAGGAAAACATCGGTCAAGTTTCGTGCTTTAAGATTTGCAATTCTTGAATTTTTCACCTTCATTGGTAATTATGTAATAACAGTTAATCAATCAATAGTTAATTAGTGTATGTATACTCTGGGTGAAAATCTCAATTGAGTTTTCTTGGAACCAGAGAGCAAGAAATACACCCTCATTTACTTATATACTTTTCTGGCTCAGCAGTGGAGATAGAGAGACACCCGATGCCCCGTGTCGCTTTTATTAATGTGATAATTATCTTTGACTCTATTACATTTTGACTTTGATGAGATTTCGAGAGTCAAGTCCAAATTTGCGAAAACAGACTCGATCGCAACCAAATTCTCTCTGTTACAAAGTTGTAATTTTCTATTGATTTGATTGATAGATCAATGATCTTTACTGATTCTATCTCTCTCTCTCTCTTCTTAACAGCAAACCCAATCTCACTTTCTCTCGGTGGTAGTATCTTAACGACTAATCCATGGTTTGAAAATCAAACTCGAAATTATATCGGCGTTTTCTTGGTATCCACGATCTGTAGTATTCTGGCCTTTTTTTGGGTTCTCATTTTTATCCGAGATTCCGATTCAACAAACTCTCATCTTGAAACTTTGGCTACAAAATCTGACCTTCACTTTAGTTATCAATCTACTCGGGTAGCGAATGAACAACCTGACAGAATAATTGGCCTGAGAAATGAAGATCCATCAAGAGGATGCTGCAGGAAATTTTCTCATGTACTTGCAGATATTTTCAACTTTTCCAATGTTCTCAAAATGTTCCGTACCTGCACTAGGAAACGGGAAAATGGCCTTCGTCGCCGTATTTGGAATGTTATGCTTATGTGCTGCTTTGTGCAACTCGCACACACGGGTGAATCTGCAATCGGGTTTCCATTTGCTCAGAAAGTTTACCAATGGAACGCTGCATATTATTCAAGCGTTTCGTCGGTCACCGTTTTGATTCCCGCCTTGGCGACCTCAATTTTTATTCCCGTTTCAATAAGACGCTGGCATTTCACTGATACAAGTCTTGGTATTATTGGTTGTATCTCTACGATAATGGGTAATGCAATTCGTGGACTATTTTTGACCTCAAGTGCTTATTTTGTGGCCACATTAGCGGGAATGTTTTCCGGTCTTATGGCAATATCGATTCGAGCATTTTTATCTCGAATGATCAGTTTCGTTGAGATTGGACAAGTTTTCTCACTTCTCTCAGCAATTGAATCTTGCGCTCCGTTAATTTCAAGTCTCTTTTATTCAACTGTATTTAAATTAACGATCAGCACTTATCCGGGAATGGTTTACCTAATTGTTGGTGTTTTATTGATTTATCCATTTACGGTTATGTTGTGGTTAGACTTGACCAAAGCCTCTTGGTATGATGCAAATAAGAAACCAAGACTGACCAATCAGATGATGAAAACCAAAGTGACCTACAAGTGAGTAATTTAAGTCCATTTGACAATTTCGATCACACATCCTAATCATTAATTATTATTATTTATCTTCTCTAGATTGTTCAATCTTCCCAACGAGAAAATGAATCACTTTATGCCTCTGACAACGATCTGGAACAATTGATCGACAATTAACTTTATCGATAAATTAAAGAAAAGTCTATTGGTATGATGCAAATAAGACAACCTAAACTGACCAATCAGATGATGAAAATCAAGACCGAAACCGATAACCAAATTTGTCCTTATATCTCTTTGAACAATTAACTTTGACTATTTGAATATTCTTAATTCAGTAATTAAAAATGAATTTACCTCAAGTTTTAAAACTCTTTCCTTTCAATTCAATCATTCAGACGGTTAATTAATCCATTCATGAGAAGATTCTAAGTAAACAAACAAACATCTACACATTAAATTCAACAACTGGATGACAACTAATATGCTTAACTGTTATTAAGGTCAATAAAACAATCAATTAATCCTCAATAACAATAAACATGATCAGTTGAAAATTAGAAACTCTAATAAGGGAAAATGTTTGATTATCTCACGAATTTAGTAAGTTTTATATTCACAACGACATAATCAGTTCCACAGAAATGACTCGAGTTTGCTTAATATTCAAAACGAATCGTGATTAACAGCAAATATCAAGGATAAACACTAATTAGAATCAACAATTAACAATAAACAAATCGAATACAAAAGTGGTGCCATCTATCGGATTAGAGTTTTTTCTTTGTTATTGTTTTTCTTTTTCTTTTTCCAAATGAACCAACTTTTCATTCATTTCTTTTTCTTTTACTACAAAATCAATTAATCAAGTTGATTAACTATTAGTTTACCATTTTACTAACTAACATGTTGCCAAACTGATTAGTTAAGTTAATTAATTCTTTGTAAATTTGTATCATAAAAAAAAGTTTAATTTTCTAAGTGTCACTGGTCCACATTGACTCGCCCATTTGGCCAATTCTATGAGAATTTATTTTTTCTATTCTATTATTTTTTTTACTCTTTTCGAATTTCATAAATAATTCTTTTAAATTGATCGTTTGACTAATCAACTAATTGACAATGGATTCAACGGAACCTGAACCAGTACGATTAACATGGAAAGAAAAATTGGAGTTGATTAAATTGCTTCGCATTGATATTTACATGATGCTTTTTTTCATCTCATTCTCAATAAGTGGTGTGAGTCTCAATCAACTTGTCGAGGATAAAATTTGTCTCAACGAATTAAATCTTAATCAGTCAATTTGTCTCAATTTGGAACACACCGATGCCGACCAAGAAGAGGCCAAAAATTATGTCCTCTCAACGGCCGCTGTTTTCAAAAACTATCAAACAATAATCTCCACGGTTCCCGGAATGTTTTTATCACTTTTCATCGGCTATTGGATCGACACTTATCCAAGTCATCTGAAGTATATTCTTGCAGCTCCAGCATTGGGAGGGACCATTGGGTCACTAATTGTCATCTACAATTGTCTACATTTCAAATTAGGTAAATTTTTCTCTCAAATTTTGTCCACTTATCAACGGGAGAATCAAATTATTACCTGTTTACCTTTAATTCATTTCTAGTTTTCCCGTTCTCGTTTTCCTTTCAAGGTTATCTTTTAATTATCCAGTACAATTTGAGTTATTACTTTATAATCTCCATTATGTAATTAATTAGTAATTTTCTGGCTCATATATTCATTTATATCGGTTACCTGAAATTACATTGAGATTGATCTGATTCCAATTGATTGTTATCACAATTTTAATTTGCTCTTTGCAGTTATTTAAACCAACTGATTATAATGTTGTTACCTGTTTTCTCATCTTTATTAAGTGAATCATGATTAATCATTTTAATTGTACACATTTTGATTGTTATTAATTTCTTTATTTGTTTATTACAGATTTTATGTTCATGTTAATATCCGATTTAATCAGAGGGCTTAGTGGTGGATTCGCAACAATTTATACTGGAGTTTATACTTATATCACCAGGAAAACTCCGGCCAAGTTTCGAGCAATAAGATTTGCGATTCTTGAATTTTTCTCATTCATTGGTAATCATCATCATCTTCATTAATTGTGTCAATTGCCAATTAGACAAAACTTTACTGGTTCTTCTGTACCCTCAGTACTCAATTGAATATCTAATCTCTTTTCTTGGAACCAGAGACCAAGAAAAACACCCTCAGTTTCCTGACAATTAGTCATTTATATTTTTTTACGTTCTAATGATAAACCAATAATCTTTAATCGTGTTAGTGTCACGAGTAGTTTTCATCTCTTCAAATAGACTTGGAGAGCTGCCTTAATTATCTTATATTAATTGGCTGATTTTCTCTCTATTTGTTTGTAACTCATTGTAAAATTTTGATGCTTTTTTTTACCTTTTTTTTATCAAGAAAATGATAATATTTACTGATCTTATCTTTTTCCCTCCTCTTAACAGCAACACCGATCTCTCTTTACCTGGGTGGTTATATCTTGACGACTGATCCATGGCTTGACAATCAACCTCGAAATTATATCAGCGTTTTCCTTGTATCTGCGATCTGTAGTACTCTTGCCTTTTTTTGGGTTCTCATTTTCGTCCGAGATGCCGATTCAAATGGACCCGAGTCAACTCTTTCGGACACTAAGCCTAAAATTTTGATTATCAATGATGAATCTTCATTCAGTGGTTCAATCGATCAGGAAACGATTGACCAGCCTGACAGGACAATCACCGATTCAGTAATTACACAAAATTCATTACCACAGAAAGGATGTTTCGGAAACTTTTGTCACGTCTTTGCCGATATTTTTAACATTACCAATGTGATCAATATGTTCCGTACCTGTACACGGAAACGGGAAAATGGCCTTCGTTGCCGTATATGGCATAGTATGCTTATGTGTTCCGTTGCTCTACTTTCTTATATGGGTGACAGTGCAATTGGTTTCCCGTTCGCACAAAAAGTTTACCACTGGGACGCTAAATATTATTCAAACGTTTCGTCGGTCATAATTTTGATTCCATCATTGGCAACATCGGTTTTAATTCCGATTTTAATAAAACGATTCCATTTCACCGATACAAGTCTTGGTATTATCGGTGTTATCTCAATGATAGCTGGTATGATAATTCGTGGTGGATTTTTAACCTCAACAGCCTATTTCGTGGCCACTATAGCGGGAATGTTTTCCGGTCTCATGCCAATATCGATTCGAGCATTTTTATCTCGAATGATCAGTTTCGATGAGATTGGACAAGTTTTCTCACTTCTCTCAGCAATTGAATCTTGTGCTCCAGCAATTTCAAGTCTCTTTTATTCAACTGTATTTAAATTAACCATCAGCACTTATCCTGGAATGGTTTACCTACTAGCGGCCATTTTATTGTTTTATCCATTTACAGTTATGTTGTGGTTAGACTTGACCAAAGCCTCTTGGTATGATGCAAATAAGACAACCAAGACTGACCAATCAGATGATGAAAACCAAAGTGACCTACAAGTGAGTAATTTAAATCCATTTGACAATTTCGATCACATATCCTAATAATCAATTATTAATATTATTTATCTTCTCTAGATTGTTCAATCTTCCCAACGAGAAAATGAATCACTTTATGCCATCGACAACGATCTGGAACAATTGATCGACAATTAACTTTATCGATAAATTATTGTAATCAGTTAGACTAATTTCTTTGTATACAAACGGGTTATACAACCAAAATGATTAACACGATCGTAAATTAACAGTACAAAAAGATTAATTTTAAAAGTAAATAGATTTTCATTTTTGTCTTAATTGTCAAGATAAATGTAGAAATAATTTTCTTTTCTCCATTAGATTTCCTTTGTAATAAGATTAAATCCTTTTCCAACAAGAACCAAGTTAATTTAGTAATTGAATGTTATATAAAAATCGTTTATACGAAACGATCATTAAACTCAATTTTGGAATTACGATTGTTTCAATAATCGTCGTAACATAAATTGTAAAATTCCACCATTAAGATAATATTGCAATTCAACCTCAGTATCGAATCGGATGAGAACATCGAACTCTTTAACTTGATCATTACCTTGAACCTTTTAGAAGAAGAAAAAAATTCGATAATTAGATTAGATCTTAAAAGATCGAAATTAATTTCAAAGTAACTTACGGTAACTTTAGTCTTTTGTCTGATTGCTAATGATTCGGGAATTTCGATGTTAAATGTTTCATGGCCTGTGAGTCCAAGACTTGGGCCACTTTGACCTGCGATAAATTGTAAGGGCATAATTCCCATTCCAATGAGATTACTTCGATGGATACGCTCGTAGCTTTCAGCGATCACTGCCCTTATGCCCTGAAGAAGTGGACCTTTGGCTGCCCAATCCGAGAGGAACCACAACCATAATCGCGTCCAGCGAGGACAATTAACGGAGTTCCCTCTTGTTTGTATCTTTCGGCTGCATCATAAACGGATAACTAAATGTGATAATAACAACAACGAGATTATTGTTGATAAAATGTTCAAAGTTCTAAATTGATCTGAATCAATTTTTCATCAACTTTTACCTCTTCTCGAGTTGGGATATGGAGTGTTCTAGATCCAGGCTTGGAAACTAATTTATTAACAAGTCTAATGTTTGCGAAAGTCGCTCGAACCATAACTGCGTCGTTACCTCGTCGCGATCCATACGAGTTAAAATCTTTTGGTTCAACTCTGCAAGAATTAGATATAAATTACAATTATTTAATGAAGATCTAATAATTTTCCAACTGTTGTATTATATCAACTTACCCTTTGTCCATTAAGTATTTAGCAGTTGGACTGTTTCGAGCTATGGAACCGGCAGGACTGATGTGATCTGTGGTCACCGAATCTCCAAGATAAAGTAAAGCACGAGAGTTGTTTATGGGCTTAACCGGAGGTAAATCAACGGTCATATTTTCAAAAAATGGTGGACATTTGATGTAAGTCGATTCGGGATCCCATTGGTATGAGATTGATTCGTTGACTTCCAAGCTGTTCCAACGGTCATTTCCTTGAGTGACCTTTGAGTAAACCTCTCTGAACATTGCAGGAATAACATAACTTTGCTCGATATTTTGAATCTCTTCTCGTGAAGGCCAAATATCTCGTAGATAAACATTGTTACCAGATTGATCTTTACCTAAGGGTGTTGTTTCAAAATCGATAACAACTGAGCCCGCTAACGCATAAGCGACAACCAGTAAAGGTGAGGCAAGATAATTGGCTCGAGTATTTGGATGGACACGACCTTCAAAGTTACGATTACCCGAAAGGACAGAAGCAACTACCAAATTTTTTCGGTCAATTGCCTCAACAACTGGATCGGGTAAAGGTCCACTATTACCGATACAGGTCATGCATCCATAGCCGACAATATCGAAACCTAATTTCTCAAGGAAAACTGCAACTCCAGATTCTTTAAGGTAATAAGTGACCACTCCCGATCCCGGTGACATACTAGTCTTTATGTATGGAGCAACTGTAAGACCTTTTTCAACCGCTTTCTTGGCCAAAAGTCCGGCTCCCAACATAACTGATGGATTAGAGGTGTTGGTACAACTAGTTATAGCCGCGATGACCACTGACCCATGGCCTAGAACATACTCTTGACCATCAAAGAAAAATGATGATTTATCATCCAATGATTCAGCTGAGATACCGAAACCTTTGAAACCTGGTTTATTTGATAAACATTGAAGAAAATCATTCTTCATATCAGAAACGGCAACTCGATCTTGAGGTCGTTTGGGACCACTTGTTGACGGTGTAATGGTTGAAAGGTCAAGCTCATAAACTTCAGAGAAAACTGGATCTTCCGATGAATCTTGATAATCTCGGAAAAGTTTAACTGCCTTCAAATAAGCGGAAATGTATCTGATTCGCTCTTCACTTCTACCTGTTTGCTCCAGGTAAGCGATCGCCTTTTCGTCAACAGGAAAGAATCCAATGGTCGCACCATATTCTGGACACATATTCGCGATTGTTGCTCGATCAGCTATCGACAATTCATCAACTCCTGAACCAAAAAACTCAACGAATTTACCAACAACCCCAACTTGACGAAGATGCTATTAAATAGAGAAAACAAAAATTGAATCAATATAGTTGATTACACTCAAGCCGATCATTGAATCAATAAAATTTTATGATCAAATTGATTCTTTTCATTAAAATTGTAATAAATCCCAATCAAAATTACTGAAAATCGATAAGTAACTAAATATAAATGAGTAATAGATTCAGCTAACGATCATTAATTGCCTTAAAAGCAATTAAGTTGCAATTGATCAATTAATTTATCGAATGAAAAAAAATATAATAATCAATTGATTACCTTGGTTATGGTTAAAACTAAATCAGTGGATGTTGCAAGTGAAGGTAATTTACCAACCAATTTGTACCCAACTACTTGAGGTAAAACCATGCTAATTGATTGACCCAACATGACCGCTTCGGCCTCAATACCCCCGACACCCCAGCCGACAATTCCAAGGCCGTTGATCATAGTTGTATGTGAATCTGCACCAACCAGTGAGTCAGGGAAAAGTAATCCCTCAGAATTGAAAACAACCCTGGCAAGATATTCAAGGTTAACTTGATGACAGATACCAGAGCCTGGGGGCACAGTGGTCATGTTATGTAAGGCCTTAGATCCCCATTTAAGAAACTGGAATCGTTCCCGGTTCCGTTGGAATTCAATATCTTGATTACGATGAAGAGAATCAGCTCTATTAGAATTGGAAGAAAAAAAAAGAAGATACAAAAACATAATTAGTAGAAAAAGTTTCTTTCTAATCCAAACAACAATAGTCGAGAACAGATAATCAGCCAAAATATCAGTTTGCTCTTAATCGCTGACAAGATCATCATAATTAGAATTAATTCTAAATCAATATTAAATTGGAAAAAGGGTTTTAAGCTTAATCAATTTGTCGCTTCTCAAAAAGTATTATGGATTAAAGGGATTAAGACATCAAAAAGCTTAAAGGTAATGGATTTATAAAAATTACGAGGAAATAAAAAACAATCAAATCAAATTGACGTTGGAATTGAGTTATTGATGCAATAATATGAACAATTAAGGAGGATTAATGATAATTGATTATCATTTAGTGCATGAACTTAAAGCTGTTTAGTGATGATAGTTAAAGATTATTGCTGATGATTAACTTGATGATGATTATGATGATTATACATCTCTGAGTTATGGTGAATAGCAGACAAGCAGGAAAGTAATCAAATTAAATTAACAGCTGATTGAGGTGGTTTTGTTGCGGAGGAAAATATCATTTCATAGTATTGGAAATTGAATCAATCAATAAATTGGATTGATTAACAGTTGATTATAATTCTGATGAGTTTGTTTTCAACTATAAAAACAGAGAAGAAATATTAAAAAAAATTATTCAATTTAAAGTTATTATTAGTTGGAGTGAATGTAATTAAGAGAAAAGTAATTGATCATGTTAACTAATTGACAGAAGAAGATGGAAAATTATTAATGATTAATATGAATGAGGAAAAGACAAGTTAATGAGATTGATGAACTGGTTGAGGATAAATTAGATGAAAATGTTTCCCAATTATAGATTAAATCTATCGGCTAATTATTAGTATTTGATTTACAGGTTAACTGGGGTTAATTTGAATTAGTTTAAATCAATTTCAATGTTTTTAATTGATCAGATTGATTGTGTAAACCTACGGGGTGAATTATGGATAATGTGAGCGTGTAAAGAGCGTGTGAAGATTAGGTGATTAAAAGGAGATTAAAGGTTGGATTAAGATTAATGAGTGAGTTGGGAATTCGAATTAGACACAGAGAGAAAGAGAAAGAGAGAGAGAGAGTGAGAGAGAGAAAGACACACAGATAGAGAGAAAATTAAGGTTCCAACCCTAAGGTTTGTTGTCGGTGAAAGGGACAAGAGTCTTGACGAAGTTTGTCGAAACTATGGGGTATCCAACTTTCGATATCGTTAATTATTGGATTGGTTGATTTTCCATTGGATGTCGATCGAACCGGAATTGAACTGTTGTTGATATAATTTCCTGCCAACATGCATTTACCAGTTTTCTGACAATCATCACAAAGTTCTGGAGTTTGGGTTGAGTCTTTGCCATTAAATTTCCCGGTTCCAAATCTCATCATGTTTAAAATACTGGAAAATGAAACCAATGGTATTTTGGTTTCGTATCTCATCATTTCAACTGAACAATTATCATGTTTTTGTTTTTCTTTTTCTTAAATATTATTTTCTTCTTCAATTTGTTTTCTTTTTTTCTGGTAAAATATGAAAATAAATACCAAAAGAAAGAGAAAAAAAGAAAGGCAAGATGGACAATAGGTAAAAGGTCATCTGACATAAATATAGTCAAGTCAATAAGTTAATAAGATAAAATTGACTAAATTTATCATGTAAATTAGAGTTCAGGTTCAACTGCAAATGAGATTTAAAGGTCTAAATTGTAACTGATTTACTTGGTTAGGAACTTATCGGTTAATTTATCATGGTAGTTGAAGAGGAGAGTGGACACTGGATGAAATCAATTTGACCTGAGAATATTTTGCTAACTCTAATGGAAAATTATTTGTGGAATAAATTATATTATTATTGAGACACGTACGTTCTAGAATAATCAACTTGGACCGAGTGATCGATGACCAAATCAGTTGGACAGAGAGGATTAACTTTCTCTGGATTACCACCGAGACGTTGAAAGGCATCTCTCATTGCAGCGAAATCAACAACAGCGGGTACACCGGTTAAATCTTGAAGAATTACCCTTGAGGGATTAAAAGGAATCTCGATACTTTCCGATTGATTAATTTCCCAATTAAGGATAATGTCAACGTCTTTCTCTTTAACCTGGAATCCATCACAAGATCGAATTGCAGATTCAAGAAGAATTCTAATGGAAAAGGGAAGTTTTCCTTAAGAAAAAGAAAACAAGAAACCAAGAGACAAACAAACAGGAATAGAAATTAACTGATATGATTGACCACAATAGAAAAGAATATCAATTTAATATTCTTACTGTATTTCTCTTGGTCTAATTTAGTCAAATCGTAGTATTGGTAAGTTTGACCAGCGATCTCCAAAGTGGCCAGTAGATTATTGAAAGATTGTCCTATTGGTATGAAAAAAACAAAGAAAAAGAAACAAAGAAATCAAATGTGATGACCAATAGAAGGAAAAAAAAGAGAATAGACAAAAAAAAGAACAAAGAAACAGCTGATCAGGTGAAAGAATGACCATCAATAGATTTAATTAGAAATTGGAACATCGATAACACAAATAGACAATTAAAGGTTAATCAATTAATCACAATTAAGATGGAAAATTAGTTGAAACAAGAATCAAATGTTTACCTTTACGAGTCATTGTTTTTACTTCAAGATGGAAACACTAATAAGATAAACACAAATTTAAAAAGAAAACAATTTGTTTCTTGTTTCAATTAATTAACTAATTAAATGAAAAGGCGAACAATTAACAATCAAAGGTAATTGTAATTAAATTAAAAAGAAATTAACTTGGTGGAAATTAGAATGTTATTAGTTGGAGATGAGAAAATAAACTCAACAGAAAAATGGAAAATTAAACTTGAATAGAAAAGAGAAAAGAGAGAGAAAAAGAGAGAGAGAGGGTCTCACTCTTAGTTTGTCTTCTATTCCCCAGTAAAAGTCACGTAAGCACAGAATTGATTTAATGACAATCGAATTGTCTGATTTAATTATCTCCCAACAATTAACATGAGGTGTTAATTGTTGATGGAAAACAAATGGAGAATATGAAAAAAGAGATGAAATTGTGAGAAGATTTTTTTGTTCAATTCTTCACCTTTGATTGATTAACATGCGAACGAGGAAACGAAATGTTCAATTCGACTTTCAATTAACCTTTACAACTGAATATTAGTTTATTTTAATTGGATATTTTTCTGAGAGATTTGGGAACAGATCGTTCTTTCCGCTTGGAAAATGACCTCACCGTGACTTGGATTTCTCATCATTTCCACTTCGTTATGAGACATTTACGATTAGTGATTTTTCCGCTTCGTTCGTAAACATTTTTTGAATCGTTCGTTACTTAGATCATAATATAAATATTCAATTCGGTTGATACTTTCATCGAAACTTAATTAGTACCAATTTCTAACGATTCATTTATTAGCTCAATAGTTAGTTTTCTAATTCACTTTGATTGTTTATCTTTCAGGTTCATAATTCCGGTGATGGATTTTGCTTCGAGAGTTAAGATCCTAGAATTTAATAGGATCAGATCAGCTTAGATTGTAGCAAATTGTTGAGATTTAGTTAGTTGATTATTACGAAATAGCCAAAGGTCAGTTAATAGATGAAAAGATCGACATAAATTGATAGAGAAATTGAAGAAATTACAATTGGAGATTATTATATGAGCCCTTTGGTCGTTCATGTGTTTTCATGACTTTGATTGTTGAAGACAAATTGTTCTTGTTGTTGGTGATTAATTCTGATTGTTATCGTTGGAAATTAAATTGTTTCTCTGTAATTCTCCTTTTAAATTGTAATCATGTCTGGTCTTTTTTCTCGTATTCTTAATCGGGTAAGCGATCAATTAGTAATTCTTTGGTTCCACCGTAATGTTATTGTTATTTTCTTTCAGTTTTGATTGTTTACTTTTCTTTTCTTATTATTTTATTTTCGTTCTTAGGCTTCAATGTTCAATAGCTTTCGGAATATAAGTGTCCAACGACCTGCTCCTAATTTCGAAGCCACTGCCGTTGTCGATAAGAAATTTAAACCCATCAAATTAAGTGATTATCATGGGAAATATTTGGTTCTCTTTTTTTACCCATTAGATTTGTAAGGATATTCTTAAGGGAAATTCAATTGATTTGATCTATAAAATAATCATTTTGTTTATTTTTCTTTTCAGTACTTTTGTCTGTCCCACTGAGATTATCGCTTTCAGTGATCGTGCCAACGAGTTTCGAGCTCTCAATGCTGAGCCTGTCGCTGTTTCCATTGACTCACATTTCACTCACCTTGCATGGATCAATACACCAAGAAAGGTACATTAGATTGAAAACCTTTCCAATCTAAAAGACAATCAACTAAATAGTTTCCTGGAAAATGTTGTTAAATCTTCCAAATTGCAAGTTGCAATCAATTCGGATTTATTTCTGATTCTCTTTGTATTTGTTATTATTTTCTTCAGGATGGAGGATTAGGTGAAATGCAAATTCCATTGGTCGCTGATTTGAATAAACAAATTTCCAGAGACTATGGTGTCCTCTTAGAGAAGGAGGGAATCGCTCTTCGTGGACTTTTCTTAATCGATCCTAAATCAGTTGTTCGACACATAACAATCAACGATTTACCTGTTGGAAGATCAGTCGATGAAGCTTTAAGAGTAATCCAAGCTTTCCAATTTGTCGAGAAACATGGTGAAGGTTAGTAATCAATTGGAGAAATCAGAGTTTAATCAACTAGATGATTACGGAAAACAATTTGAATCTTCAACAATTTGGCTCGAACCCAATTAATGTTTAATTCTGTTCATCTGCTTCCGTAATTGTGTCTAGTTTGTTTACCTCGAAAAAAAAAGGTCGATTTTGTGATGTGAGAATTTTTCTCAATAATCAAAGTTAATCACAATAGTTTCTTTTAATTTATTGCTTTTTATTTCGTTATATTATTATTACAATTTCTTTTTTTCTTTGTTTCTTCTCTTGTTATTTTATATAATTTACAGTTTGTCCAGCTAATTGGAAACCCGATTCTCCAACCATTGATCCTAAAAATGCCAAAGCTTATTTTGAGAAAGCTAATTAACAGAATTAACAATCAATCGTTTTGTTTTAGAGGATTAACAAGAATGGACAATATGATGTTAAGAAGAAGAAAGTAAAAGAAAAACATAGATAATAATAGATAACTTTTTCATGGATTGAGGGGGAAAAGTAAGGTGAAAATATCAATTAATCCAAAGTTAATTATTAGATTTATAAAAAGAAATTGTCAATCCAAAATTACCACAATTAAAAGTTATTCACAAAAAGGTGACAACTTTTGTTTGTTCCATTTGTTTATATTTTGTTTGTTTTTCACCTTTTCCGTTTTCCATTATTATTATGTCATCAGCAAACCAAGACTAGAAATATAACTAATCAAATCAATCGACATTCACTCTAAACTCAATGTCAACTCATTAATATTATTCTTATTTTTCTTTATCGATAATCCAATTGGTTATTAAGTGTGTGTGTGTATGTTAATTAAACAATTCTAATAACAGGTGAGCAAGTTTTTTGTTTCCATGTGATTTCTCATGATCATTTATCGCCAATTTATTGATTCTCAGTGCAAGCAGCAACCGTAACCAAAGGCACTCCTTTTAATTTAGCTTTCTCCTTAATTGATAAAGCCTTTTCTTTCAATTTTTCCATGAGTAAAGGATGAAGAATTGTATTACTTGTGTCAATTGAAGTCTCCCCATTTGAATACATGGTATCCAGAACTAATTGTAATCCTTTAACTGCTTTTGTACATCCATGTTTAAATCTTTCAGTTCCAACGGCTTGAACGGCTTTAGATAAACCATACATATTAGAGTTAATCCAAGCTTTTCTCTCGGCAAGAGTTGTAGTTGGATTATCGGTTGATTGTCGATAAATAACATTCTCATCAACGGTCATTATTGTTTGCATTCCAATGTTACGAGTATTGGTCTCAAAAATTTTGTTCACTGGATCAACCATTGATTCCTCAAGGATATAACATATTCTAGATGGGACAAATCTTTCAGCCCATCCTGGTGGTCGACTTGTTTTACAAATTAATCGTTTACTAATTAGACGACCATCACTATCGACATATCTCTCAATGGTATCTTCAGTTAATACATGATTACTATTAGTTAAGTGATAAGGAGACAAAAAAAAAGGAGTAGAAAATGAAAAACAAAAAAGATAACATAATTAGATAATGTCAATTGTTTACAAATAAAATAAAATAAATGAGGACAATTAAAGGTTGACAATAAGTACTCACCTATAAGGGTTAGGATACCGACACCAAAAGGCTCTAACTACTTGATCCCATGAGTAGTTGAATTTATCAAGCATTTCAATGAAACGAACCATATTGATTCCATACAGAGACAAGAAGAGATTAAATCAACAAGCCGGAAAAAGTTGATGTGAGAGATTTTTCTCGAAAATAACACGACGAACAAATTTCTCCAATGCCAACACCAACGGTGATAGTAAAAAGAGATTTAGATAATTTTAGATAATAACACAGGTAAGAAAGAAGTAAAGGTGAGGCCAATGATAAAACCTTGAGAAGAAGATCAAAAGTGAGAGCAAAAAATACAAAAAAAAAATGCGAAACAAATACTAATTAATGTTACATGTATTGTTTCAAGTTTCTGGCTCAAAGGAACAGGATTAACCTCTGATAACCAGGTGAATCTTTTACAATCATGGCGATGGAAATCAATCGGTTACTAGGCAGTGATGAGAACACTAGTTGAACAATTAATGGAATTTAAAGAAAATTGGAACAAATTAAATAATTAATGGAAAGAAATTAAATTAAAACCATAGATCACTTTCTCTGACCCAAATTTAATTAGAATTGAAAAAAAAACAAATGTGTAAATAAAGAACCAGAACATCGATAGTATCGAAGAATTTTTTTCGATACTATCGATAAGAATTTGATTTTTTCGATTTTTTTTCCGAAACTTTTGTTTCTTTTTCCTCGACAATTTAAATTGTCAAGTTAATTGTTGTTCTTTTTTTTCAGGGATTTAATTTGATTGAATTACTTTGAGAGTTTTGAAAATTTTAATTTTAGTTTTAGTTTTTTGTTCTCATTTTAATTTATTTCCAATTAAATTGTATTAGAGTTACAATCAATTTGATTAAAACTTTTTTCTTTCGAGTTGATTGTATATTATATATTTAATTCAATTGTTGTGAAAAGTGTCATTTTTTATTACAGTTAATTGTTGAGGATTAAATTTAGTTTATTAATAACTGAATATATTAAATCATTTTCTGATTCCCTGTGAAAATGATTATCATGTAAATTGTTTTGATTTATTTTGTGTTTTTTTTGTTGTTGTGTTGTTAACAAAATTTAATAATTGGTTAATTGTCCCAAACAATTAAAGTAAAGAAAGAAACAATTCCAATTGTCATTTAGTCATTTCTCCATTACAATTAAATTACAATTAGTCTGATCAATTCTCCTAATCAACTTAGTAATTAGATTTCAATTTTAAGATTTGATTCCAACTGATAATCATAATCGTTTTTTGTTTTCCTCCAGCAATCAGTTAATCCAATTGATGATTTATCTGTTTAACAAATGAAAATGTTTAATTGTCACTGGAATTAGTTGATCACCACCAGAGTCTGTATGATGTATTGATAACCAATCAAGCAATCAATCAATCAAAAGATTGTATCAAGGGCAGCCAATGATTTAGTAATTGATTCATCCTGTTAGATTGAATATAAAACAATCAATTAATTACTTATGAATTAAATTGTTGATCGAATAATATTTTCTCGAATTGAAAAAAATTTTCTCTTCTTTCTGAACTTTTTTTCCCATGAAATCTATGGGGAATTGTGACTCACTTTAAGACAAGAATCGATGAATTCTTGTAAATTGATAGTTCCTTTTTGTTTTTGATCGAATTTCTGAAAAAAAAGAGAACTCATATTACTTTGGAACTTATATATAAAATCTAATATTAGAATTTGGAATATTCTTTTTACCCTGAACACTCTTTCTGTTTGCTCTTTACCATCAAGAACAAATTCAACTGATTTACCCATCAGATCGTAAACAGCGGAAACAATTAAGGAAAATTCGTCTTTCGTTAAAACACCATCACCATTGAGATCGTACAGATTGAAAGCCCATCGTAGTTTATCCTGAACACTTCCTCGAGCAAGAGCCGAAAGTCCAACGACAAAATCCTAGCAAAAAAAGTTCGAAAATCGAATTAGAATCGAGAGAAAAAATCAAAATTCTAAACCAACAGATTTAAATATTCATCATCTCAACGACGACTTATCAATTTCTCTATCAATCCTTTATCTACGGATTCGATGTGAAAATTTTGACATTTCCTATCAATATGAATTCTAATCAGTTTAACTCAGTTATTATGATTGATTAACCATCACAATCAATTTCACTATCAACCTCAAATCTGATTGGTTAAACGTTGAATATTAATCATATTTGAATGAGTAAACAATTTAATCTAATCCATTGAGAAGATTAATTTTTTTCCTCTCATTACATTCTGGTTGTTGTTTCAATCTTGACGTAACAACGCAATCAGTTAATTGTAATTATCTCTTACCGTGAATGTTATTGATCCAGTGTGATCAGGATCAAATGAATTGAATACATAATGTGCATAAGAACTTGGATCGGAGCCTCGAGGAAAAAATTGAGCATAAATGACCTTAAACATATCCTCCTTGACCACTCCCGATGGACAGTCCTAAATGGTAAGAAAAAAGTTCGAGTTAGAAAACAATTAACAAGATTGTCCAGTCAATTAATTTAGATCAAATTCCAAGCAATTAAATCTACAAGTTGCCACTCGATTGATTTCAAAATGTTGACCAACAATTGAAACTTAATCACTTGGACTGAATTCTATTTATTTTTTTTCTTCTCAATCTTATTGACCAATGTCCATCTTTCTCTATCTTCTAGATAAATCTAATTGTCTCAATATAATTTAATTTTGTTCCAATGATATTTTGTATTATGTACGATTCATCTCAATTTTTGAAATCGAAACTTGATTGAAAACTTTTCTTTCGATGCTTGGAAACTTTTCACTTCTTGACCATAAGAATGACCAGTCTCAAGGTTTACCTGTTTAAATCCTCTGTACATGATTTGAAGTTCTTGTTTACTGAATTTAGTCAATTGGCATAATACTTCAATCGGTTCTGGTTTAATATGAACTTGTTGTCCATCGAGATCATCAAAGTCCCGCTCTGGTTGAAAAAAGAAAGAAAAAATTTTTCGATATTAAAAGAGTTCAGATGAATTCGAGAGGAAAAAAAGTTCTAATAATAGAATCATATTTTTTTGAACATTATATAAATGAATCTGGAATTTAATTTCTTCAATATTTACTCTTTTCTTCAATAGAGTTGAGAATTGAGAGAACACAATCAAATATTGGTTGACAATCAATCTTAATGTAATTAAATAGCAAACAAATGGTTCACAATTGAAAAGAGTTTAATTTAGACAATCAAGAATCATTAATCGAACGTGAATTTTAACCAATCGTAAATACATAATAACAAGCAACTTTAATTCAATTTAAAGGATAAACATGATAAGTATTTTCACTTATTAGTAGAAACTGAAAGTTCACTTTAAAATTCTGGTTAATATCATAATCTATTCAGAGACAGAATTGAATTTACATGGAAATTTCTTTTCACCAGAACTTTTTTCGATCCAAAGTTCTAAGCTCATTTTCTTAATACATAATATTTTCACCTTTTTTATCTTATTGTTGTCCAGAATTCAGAGAATTCTCATCTCTCTCTCTCTCTCTCTCTCTCTCTCTCTCTCTCTCTCTGATTTAGAGATTGAGGTTAAAGAAGAAAAGTCCACAGGAAGTTCAGTTATCTAAGGTGGAAGTGACCATTCATCATGAAAAGCATTCACATTGGTGGTCAAGCTTAAAATGGTTGACTCACATGATGACAGAAAGATGAATCCTTATGTTTGTTTGGACAATGGTCAGTTGACAGTTAAACAAAAGGAGATTGACCTTTTTGATGGTCAAATATTTATCTAGCAATTGTAAGTAACGGTAGATACTAAATTGTTGACCCAATCGTTATTGGATAACATTAATCATTACACCTTAACAATTTCCTTCGATAATTACTCCAAAATCTGATAATTAAACTACACAAAAAAAAGTTGCTAATCATGATTGATTAATGATAAACAAAACCTTTCAGTCTAATAGTGATTAACCAATCATCGTCAAGGATTATCTTAATCTTATAATATATATGAAGAAATGAATCAATTACTCAACCGATTATCTTTAAATAAATTATCAGCAATTAGTAATATCTGATCAGTGGTGTATTTGTGTGTATTTATTGATGATGAATATGAAATTGATCAACTTTAGTTAATCAGATCGCTAATCATAATCTAATCAATCTATCAATCAATACAACTATCGTATAGATTATTGAACAATTTAAATTGCTGAAATTGTGCTAATATTTGTTTACCTTAATCATTGTTATCAGTAAATTGTTACTTTCATGTGACAATTGATTTTTAAATTGTTATCGTGATCGTTGAATGAATTTTTCTGATTGATCAGTTATTCATGATTGTCACCAGATTTTCAATGCTGATGATGAAATTATTACCATGTTAAAAACGATTGATGGATCAAGAATCCATGAAAATGATTGAAAAGTTTACTATTAGATAATCAATTTGCTTTCCATGAAATTCATGGTTACTGAATTTTTATCATGAAACTTTTTATTTATATGATGGAAAACACTACCTGTACTCAAAGGAAATATAACTATTGAATATCATCATGTAAATTCAGTAGGAAAAAAACATAGATATCTCTTCATGGTAATGATGATGATCATGAATCAGAATCTGAATCGGAAATAAATAATTCATCAGATTGAAGCATAAATCAAATTTTGATAATAACTTTTCATCACTAGAATCTGAAACAATTGAACATCTTAATGATTGATCATTTCTATCAATCACCAGGTAAATCATTTAGATTCAATGGTTACGATAACAATCAAATCCTTAATTGTGATTAACTTACGACTCATTTGGGTCGATACTTGAGGTGAGATCAATTTACGATTTCGATTTTTTTTCGAATCTGATGATTTAGAGGAAACATTACAACGAACACTTTGCATCATATTGTCTAATAATTAAATCACAAACAATTAAATAGAAAAATAAACAACAATTAACCACCAATTTAAACTGTTAATTTAGTATAAAAATGAGAATAAACTAAATTGTTGTGAATTTGAAAAGCAAATGATAAACTTAATGTTTCCCCATTAACTTTTGCAGCCTCACTTATTGAGCTAAATTTAGATTGTGAAGTTAATTTGTCTTGTTAATTTTGATCATCTTTTCTTGGCATCAATCGTATTCAACCAAATGATTAACAACAATCACCAGTGCCATCATCAGTTAATCAAAAAGTTTCCAACAATTTGCAAACAATTTAAAAAATTCAAATGGTAAACATTGAATGTTTACCATTAGAACTTGTTTTTTTTTAATCAATCAGCAATTAAAAATCAATCTTATTACTATGATGCTAATTTAATGGTTCATCCAATTGTTTTTGATTGTGACAACAACATCCCAACAATTTAACCGTCCGAATCAAATTATATCGCAGCCAATTAACTTTCCTCATTACTGTGATTAGTTAATTGTTCAACACTGATGACATTATATGCATTATAAGGTTGAGATGTTTTCTAATCCTTTAATCATAAAATTAACATAATGATGGTGATGATCAAAATTCACCTTTAGCATAACCTAATCACTTAAAGTTAATTGTTACAGAGGAAGACAAAAAACAAATCTGATAAACAATTAACCAGGTAAACGATAAATTTAATCCTCAATACTGAATAAACTGAATCTTCATGAGAATCTGAAAAAAAACATATTCCTCATGAGACTTTGGAACCGAAAGTGATTAACTTTACCAAGAAAAATATATTTTAAGTACAAAGGGAATTCAGTGAAGGAGATAAAGTTCAGTAATGATTATTTTCACGGTTTCATGGTGAAAGGGTAAGAAATGAATGAGAGTGAGAAAAAAACATTTTCACTAAAGATTCAATTGGAACCATGAAATTATCATATGATAATGATTCAAGAGTCATTAGCTTGTTAATTCAAGGTAAATATCTTAATCTGAGCATCATCATGTCTCATGAAAATCTGATGCTAATGAGATGAAATTGATTGAACAATAACAACAATCATTATCGAGTATCTCAATTACAATTATATAATCTTAAATATCTTTCAACATTAAACTGAGAAATCATGTATATGAGAAATACATGGTTACGATTTTAATGTTGAACTTTTTTTTCATGATAAACTCAATTCATTTTTCCTTGTGACTTGAATATAATTTTTGTATCTTTTGCTTTTTAGTTATTAAAGCAACATGATAATAGGTATCAAGGTGTATGTTTGTGTGTGTATATGGTTAATGTATCTGAGAATCTCAACTTTTTTTCCCATGTTGTTCATGGTTTCTGAAAGTTTTCATGTGATAGTCACGGAAATTGTTTACAATAAATCACTTTATATGGATTCCAGGGTGGAGAGGGTGGAAAGAAGCAATTACAGGGAGGAAAACTAAAGGTAAATACGAATATGTATCATATGTTCATTTCCATTTTGAACTTTTTTTGCTCAAATTTTTTATTCCTCAGATTCACTCAAAGAATATGTTCTGAAAGTTCTGATAGAATCAGGTTTCAAGTTCTGATGATAGGATATTTTTATTTATTTACATGTATTCATGGGAAAATATGAATCAGTTCATGAGGTGAATGATAATATCATGAAGAATTTTCTTCTTTTTTTCCCAAGAATTGATGTGTTTATATAATAAACTTTTTTTCTTCTCTCGATGATTGAATAACCTTCTGAACGATTGATCATGAATTCTGGTCAGTCATTGGCCATGGTCAGTTATTGGTCAATAGATAACAAAAGAGTGAACAATTCAATTGTTCAATCTATACAATGAACTATCAATAGACTGAAAAAAAGGTCAAACTGCCCAGGGTAAATTGTAATTCATTGTTATTATTATTCATCAACACATCAACCTCATATAATCACATGAACCTTTCATGGTAATGTGATTTTATTGAGATAAACCGTTGAAATTATCCAACATATTAATCATGATCAAAATTCATGGCGATGATCAATATCATGATGAATTGTTCATTTCCAAGTATCTAGATTTTGTATTTGTTCATTAAGACCTTCGCAAAGATGAAATGATTCAGTAGCTCATGATGATCATGATAACTGACCAGTGGATTGATAAAACTATCAGGTCATCAAAAGGGTCAGTAAAAAAAAATAAGATGATTTTTTTGCTTCTCATGAAATAAATGATGATCAGCTAACATGTCAATCAGAATGATGATCAAGATGAGGATGAACGTGACGCTGAAAATAGATGAGGATGACAAAACGAGAGAGAGAGAGAGAGAGAGAGAGAGATCTCTCAACTCATCATCATCATCTTCAGTTTGACTTGGAAAATTTTCCTCCTTTAATCATCTTAATTATTATTGATAAAGTTCAATGTCACCTTAATCATCATCATCTAAACTAAAGGTAACCCAAATAATTAAATCAAAAATCATACAAATTAAGCTGATATTGCAATTCAAATCTGATTACAAAATAATATCATAACTAAATCATCATTTAATCAAATGATTGTTTCTCATTGGATTACCGATAGATATTCACAATCTAAAACTTGTATGATGATCATCATTATCATGGTCAATCAATTTTACCTGAGATAAAATGATTAACCTTAATTTTTATCATTCAATTAAGTGAAAGCTTCCAATCAATTGAACTAATCAAAAACAAAGAAATGATTGGGGAAAAAAAAGTTTCATCAAACAAAAAAAAACTAAATTAAATCACAATTGAATTGTATGAAAACAAAGAGTCCCAATGATTAGTGTCCAGTTCTGGTCAATTATTTTTGTTTACGTTTACAGTTAAACCAAAATCAACATGACAATTAACCAAATTACCCATCTGATAGTTACGTTAGTCTTAATGATCGTAATCAACAATATCAACTACAATTTATTGTGATCGCTTTTTTTTCACTCCCAGAATGGACATTGTCCATTTACTCCTCCTTCTACTTATTGTCCACTCTTGTTGACCATTTCAAGTCGATGGTCATTTTCATATATTACATAACCATTATCACCATGGTCATTATCTTCATCTACAACATTCACAATCATTATCATCAAGTAAACAACCGTAATCATTATAATCTTTCACCAAATCTGAATCCACAATCAACTGAATATTAATAACATTTATTCAGATTTTCATATAATCAAATTTTAACAATTTATTTCTCACCATAATCATGGTGAAAATAATACAATCTACTAATTTAATAAACTTTCAAGTTGATTTTCTCACAACAATCAAATGTGTGTTTAACTTTTTAGATTAAATTATAATTCAATCAAAATATGAAATTAAAAAGTTGATATTTATTGTTTTTAAAGGGAATTCATGTTAACTTGATTGTTGAACATTTAATTGTCACCAACTAAATTAGTACGATTAGTTGATCATTTATTTGATTTTGGTCATTAATTACTCGGAGGTAATTTTCGAGATAATTATCTTCCCTTATTATCACTTGGTCGTTAAGGTTAATTGTAGTAATTTAATCAATCAAGAAGGTTTTTTTTTCAATGATTAGTTGAGTTGGTAAATTAAGTTTATCATGAGACCTACATGAGAGATATTTGTTATTGATGATTTTCAGTTGAGAAATTAATGAATTTGATTGACGTTCATGAAATTTATCATGATAGTTAAACGATAAACATGAACTCAAGGATAAAATATATAATATTTTTTCAGGAAAAAGTAAACACCCTGAATATCATGATTCCTTTATTGGAAATGATCAGAATCGTTAACTTTTCTGATTCTTAATCTCATCAAACTTCACCAACAACAATCATGAAATGATTCAGAATAATTGACATCGTTTGAAAGAGGATAAAAAAAACAAAGATAATCTGAGTTGTTGATGAATTTTTCATGAAACTTTAATTCCTTGATTGTTGAAATGATATAATCTCAGTAGGTGAAAGTGAATCTTTTTCTTGGTCTTTTTTTTGGGATCTTGAAAATTGAATTAGATGAAAAAGTGAAATTCTTACACAAGGTTATCCATATTTTTCACCTTTCTTATTATCACCCATGGAAAATATCATGTCAGAGTGATGATCGTGATCAGGGAGATAATAATTGTTGAGATGAGCTTAAAAAACTTTTTCATTTGAGTTTCCATTTAATCTGATGGTTCAAGATTACAGAAAATGCTGTTATCATGTTACCAGAATCTTGGGTGAGGCTGAAGTATAAGTAGAGAAAAACAGTTTTTCTACTCGAATGAACTTATTATTTCGTCATTATCATGATTATCATTATCGCCATCATCATGATGGACTAAACATATGAGCAAGAATTTAGAGGAAAATATTTTTCTCTTCCAATCTCCGCCTTCTTACAGGGTAATGAGCGAGTTCCATGAGCCTTGGGTAATCTAATTGTCTATTAGGTTGATAGTCTTTTCATAATTTACCCTCATGAAAAGATAATTTTCAGTATTTTCATCATATTTTCAGAGATAATTCAGATTCCAAGTTGGATCGAGTGTTATTTTAACCCAAATGAATCAATGGTAAAGTTAAAAAGGTTAAACATCATGATTATTGTGAAACTTTTCACCCAAAACATTAAAATGAGGAAAATAATTTTCCAAACATTTTTATCTCTCATGAAGATCATTCAATTTCTATGAAACTGAATTTGGAACTTTTCAAATTGAAGATAAATGAATTATATTAGAGTGGAAATTTTCACCTTCATATCTACCTGAGTCTCTCTTTCATCTCTCCCATCTTCAGGGGTGATAATTGAAACAGATAAGCTCGAATTGAAATTCAGTTTCAAACAATTGAATGATGAATCATTTTCAAGGAATTTACTTGAGTTCCATTGCCGGATATTAATCAGCCAGTTCATGGATACCGATTGAGTTTTACTCTTGAATTTACCATGAAAATGTTAACACATCAGTGAACATTATATTAATACATATAGAAACTGAGCTTCATGACAGGGAATTTGAAGACAATGAATCAACCTTGATTCTGAAGGAGTTAATTGGTTCCTGTTATCAGGTAAAATTTTTCATGATAATTTTATATTGATTTTGAGGATGAATTTATTTTATAAAATCTTTCAATTCCGCTCAAAGTTATATCATTAACTCCAGAATTCATTGTCAGATTTTATGTATCAGAACTTTTTATCCTTTTAGTTTATGAAGTTTTCTTCTCATAGATTCCTCTTGGGTATAATATAATTTACAAATAATAGCAATAATCATGAGATGCATGAGAAGATTCAGTTTTAGGAAACGTTATCTGAATGCCAAAATGTCTCAGAATCTACAAAAAGTTCTGAAAAGTTCTGTGAATTTTTTTCTTTCCAATTCCAGAATTTTTCTGAAAGAAGAACAAGAAGAAAAGTGTCAAATTTTCCTTGAACTTTTTCCATAAAATCAATAACCAACTGATAGTATTATAAATGAACAATGAGTTTCCATTCAGGTTCTCACTTGAGATTTTCATGGTAAAAAATTCATAAGTTGTTTAATCATCTGCCAACACTAGAAGTTGATAACTTATTGGTGTTCATTAGTCAAAACTTTCTGAATGCTGAGCATTATAAATACTCAAAGAAAAAAGGATGAGAAAAAATTGTTATTTTCCATGATTGGAATTTTTTTTCCTCCATGTAACTTATCATCTTTGGTTTTCTATTATTTATAACGAGAATCTTTTCTCCCTGAACTGACCTTATAAAACTTTCAGGGTGATTATCACTTTTTCTCATCTTCATCCTCTAAATTTAGGCAATATTCATGTTCCAAGGAATCTGATATCTTATATAATATGATTCTTTCTGTCATATTTCCTCTTGCAATTCCCTGGGTGTGACTATACACAACAACTTGCAATTCTTTAATCTAATTTCTATCAATTCCAAATTACATGATAGAACAAAATTATTCAGCAGATAATCAATTAAACATGGAAATAAACGCAACAGATTAAAACAACAAAAAGTTCTGTAAATGAATTGATCGGAATGATCGAGATTAAGATAAATCATGGAGACGAAAAGTTTTCTCTCTCTATTTTCAAGATGAACTAATTTCCATGTTCTCACCATGAACAAGTTGTAGATTATCATGTTGAGATAAATTTTCATTTTCATAGTCATCAAAGAATCAATACCATGAAAAGAGGAAGAAGATTAATAATCCATTATTCTGATAATTCAGAATAATATCATATTCGATTCTTGATTTTATTGTTATTTTCTCTTCTCCTTCGTTCTCTTCCTAATGTTCAACTTCGTGATTATGATCTTTATCTTGATCATGATGAAATTGAAACTCTATTTGCACTCAGAAAGATAAAGATACAGAATAGATATTAAATCAATCAGCTAAATTCTTGAATTAAGGATAAAAGGATGTTGATCATATTCCAATACAAAAGGTACGTATTCATGAATAGATATCGATAAATGTTCATTCCTTAGACTTGAACTATTATCTCCCTGCCTCATGTTCACCACCTCCAAGAACTCAGCATTCTGATCATGATTCAGAATCAGAATGAAAACTTTTCCACCCTGACTACTTTTCCTATGTAAATATAACATATTGTTACTAATATCTAATGGATTGTTACATAATAAATGTAATAATTTAATTCTCTGGGTAAACAATTAACTCTATTGTTTACTCATGGTAACCGTGAATTAGTAACAATTAACTGATTACACCAAAGGTTAATTAGCTTACCATTGAATAAACATTTTCACAATTAACTTTGTTCCAATTTTTTTTTCTGTTCCTTCATTAAGTTAACTATTGTCTTGTACATTTAAAATGGTTGATGAATGATTAACAATTTAAATTGTTGTATATTTATAAATTTTCATTGAAACGAAAACGATTCAATTAATTATAAAACAATTAAGCTCAGGTTACAATGTTAATCATTAATATCAATCATCATGTTTCATTATTATTTTGATTTCACTAAATAAATCATTAATCAGTCTGTATATTTGATCAATTAAATTGTTGTATCAGTGAGAAACTGATTAATTGATTTACTTTTTTACTAATAATATAAACAATCAAATTTGTTTATACGATTCATATTTGGATTACTTAATTGGGTTAATTAGTATTGGAAATTTATGTACAACTAAGCAATCAGCTGATTGTCGTCAAGATGAAATAGTTTCTCGATTCTTAATTGTTCAACTAATTGTTTCGATTACTAATTAAAATCTTACCTTCTTCAAGAGTTTTAATTCCGTACCAAGTATTTTTAACAAACTTTAAACATCGTGAATAAAAAGTGGCCTCAGAATCGGCAGCATCTCGAAACGATTTGATCAAATCCCGTTCTTGTTGCCGTTTATTTTTACTTTTGACCTTACGACCTGCCGAGTGGGATGTTACCATACCATACATGATGATACCAATAGAATTGAACTAATCGATTGACAATTAACTTTAATTGTTTTTCCAATAAGTTAATAATTAACAGTAATGGTTGTTGATTATCATGATACGTATTCATAATGAGTGAAACAATTAGTTAAACTCATGACATTATACTTTTATGATGATTAAACAATCAAAAAATCAAATTAGAAACACAAACAATTTGAAAATCACAATTAATCAAATTCAAATGGAAAACGAAACACAATTAAATGAGAATGTAATTAAATTGTATTATGATGATTATGGTTTATTCATTATTAACTATTGCCCTTGATATTGGTTAATTGGTTTACTATATTTGGTAATCACTTTTAAATAGAAATGATAATTTTGATTGTTAATTGCAAGAAAAAAAAAAGATTTAGATTCAATTGATGGATAATCAAATTAATTAACTCGATATGATTTTGGCTTAATTGTTTGATGTTTAAATACACGATATGAATGTAAACTTTTTTTCTCCTTTTTCGTTTGTCAACTGATTAGTTGATTGTGGTAAATTGCGAAATTTAAATATTAATTTACTAACAATTTGGATGAAGACGTGATCAGTTTGATGAAGATTAAGTTAATTGTTGTGATAGAAAATGTTATTAAGGCACAAGAAGAAGAAGAAGAAAAAGTTTCGTTTGTTTCGAAGATCAAAATTTCAGAACAGTTCTGGACACTCGAAGTTCTGAAAAGATTCTGTATGGATTTTTTTTCTTTCTCTTACTCTCTTTCTCTCTCTCTAAATGATGATAATGATGAAGATGAAGATGACTGAGTCTCTGTCTGTCTGTTTATCTGGGAGAGTTGTTTTTTTCTTCTTCTTCCTCTACTGAGATGATGATGTTACTTGGAAGGAGAACCATTTGTGAGTGAAAAGTATCTCATCATCTTCCAGGGATGATGAAGATCATCATCTAGGAAGATGCTTCCTCTTTCCAAGAAAATAGACAGAGACAAAGTGAATGAAGAAAGAGAATTCCCAGAACGAAAGAGAGAGAAAAAGATAAAGAGAGAGGGAGGGAGGGAGTAAAAAATTACCATGGAACATGAATTTTCATATAATAAATTTCATCTACATGAGGGATTAGTTGGAATATGATGATTACAGATTAAGACAAAGATTATGATGTTGAGAGAGATACGAAATAGTTGATAGTCCAATGATAAAGGAACCGGAAAAGATACCAAGACCATTGAATTTATCATGTAATTGAGATTAATTGTGATCATTGATTGTTATTATTTAGTTAAATGAACAAAAAGATGATCAATATTTGACTATTTAGCTAATTACTTGACTTAAAGTAAAAGTTGATTGCATGTTTCAAGATTTACCTTTATGAATTTTTCATCAACCTACTCATGAATTATTAGCTTGGGTGTTACTGATTCCTATTGAATCATTTTGATAAATTTTTGAGTTGATTGTTTTTAAATACAATTTGACTTTTGTCAAACTTTTTAAAAGTGTAACAATTAAAGGATAAGTTTAAGACAATCAAGACACACCTATTGATTTGGTGTATTTAATTTAACCAATTGGTTACATTAATGATTAAGATCACGAAAAAAAGTTTATTGCATTTAATTATTGGTGTTCATAATCAAGTCTTACTTGTCATAAACTGGACATTGATAATTAGCTGAATAAGAGATGGATCCAAAAGTTTCATGATAATTAACTTATTCAGATTTAATTAGTAGTTGAAAATATCAAATTTGATTAAATTCATAAATAGCAAATGTTAATTGTTTCATTTAAGTGAATATGATATTGTATCAGAGGTGGAAATGGTTGGATGTGGAATTGAAACTCAGAAGGATAAATGAAAACAAAATTTTCAGGCAAACAGATTATTGTGAAACAATCAAGGTTATATGATTATCTTCTTGTTGGTAAACTGATGCTGAGGATGATGGTGATGACGATAAGAGGGTTTCAGGGTAACGATGATGAAAATACATGAGAAAGATGAAGTGTAATTGAGGCGTAAAGTTGACAAGGCGTTTAACTGTTGTTATTCTGTCAGAACTTTTTTTCTCCAGTTCTAAACAAAAACGATCATCATCATAATAATAACATTGTTTATCTTCATCATTATTATGATAATCATCATCATCAGTGGGTGAAGAGTAAAAAAAAATAAGGTTGATAACATGATTCTTGTTTCCATGTTTCTATTCAGTTCCATTAAATTCATCATTTCCTTTTCCTTCTTGTTCAATTTCTTGTGTGTACAAGGGATGAATAAAAAACACACATACTCACACGCCAAGAGTTCAGTGAATACATAAACTTCATGATAATGATGATAAACAGAGAGAGAGAGAGAGAGAGAGAGAGAGAGAGAGAGAGAGAGAGAGAGAGAGAGACAGAAAAAAATCAAAGTTCAGTAAAAATTGGAGAAAAAGAAAAAAAAGTTTCAATCTGAATGCTGAACTTTCTCCTCCCTCTGACTAGGTAATACTTTATATCGACTATTCTGATTCTGGAGGCTCTGATAGCTCCACCTCCCTGAATATCCATCAAATATTCACATAACATTTCACTCTGGACAGAATTTGAAAAATAAGAATCCCATGTAAAACGATAATTCATATGAACTCATGGATTTTTTTTCTACAGACAAAAGCGATAAGTTTAGATGGGAAGAACAATTTTCTCATGGTTCATGAAGTTGAAGAATTTTCTATTCTTATTGAAAAGCAATTGCTCCTTTCGTCAGGGTTATCATCGATAAGAATAATAAATTATCATCTCACTCTCTCCCTAATACACACAAATACAATCCACTTGAGCTGATAACATTTTTTCAGGATGTTTTTCATGGGAGAAGACAAAAAAATTCATTGACACAAAAAGCTTCCTGAAAATCATCTGACTAATGTTCAAATTCGTGATGGATGCTTACCATTGAACTTTCTGTCAGAATTGTGAGTTCGAAGTAGGCAAAAAAAAAATAAAGAGCATCTATTAAATATACTACTAGATATAAATCGAGGATTGAAAAGTTATTTTTGATTTTTCGAGGAGCAAAAAAAAATGAACGAAAAACAAAACTCGAACCATTTGATTTATTCAATTGTTCACAATTTACAACGATTATGAGTCTCTGTTAACATTTTCATGGGTCAAGGATGAGAATCGATTCTGTTTTCATGATAAAAAATTTTGGCTCATTGAACAATCATTGACACATCAAATCGACAATCAACTCGACAATTGATTAACAATAAAACCAATCCACTGAATGGACGCATCAATTGTTAACAAATTAACTTTCTCGATCAGGTTAATTCACTATCAAGATGATTAATCAATTATGATCAACTTTAATTGCTCAACATCACAATCTTCATTTACGTGAACTCTTTTTTTAATCAAATCATTCAGAATCCAAAATCATTAACTATTCAACTTGAGGCTAATTAAATCAAACAGAAATGATAATATTAAAAAAAAAATCTGATTCCATCGTTAACCAAATCATGATGATTATCAACATTAATATTAACCGGATGAATTGATTGTTATCATAACAATTTGATTTAATTAGCTTTTTTTATTATTCGGTTTGATTAAATGTCTAATTTTTTTTCTGGCCCAATGTTCATGTGAATGTTATTCAGAATCAGAACTATTTTCACCAATGATAATCATGAGAATCATTAAAGTTTTATTTGTATCAACAAGGGAAATTTGGTTAAATTTTAATAGACCAAGATAATCAAGTTAATTCACTTTGATTACTGTTTATGATTACAATTTAACTCTTTATATTATCCCAGTTAATTTGGTTACAAATATCAATTCTAATTGTGGATTTGAATTGAGGAAAATACTAAAATCATATAATCAACTCATCAGCTAATGATAATCATGTTGATCTCTGTTGAAGGTTAATTGTCGTTGATGGTTAATCTCAATGATATTCACATGAGATAATAATCAGAATTAATTTCTCTTAATGAAATTGTTTCTTAATTGTAACTTTTTCATGTTTCCTTTTCAAGTTTGCTCTCTCTCTCTCTTTCCCTTTTATTGTTGTTGTAATCATTATGATAAAATTAATTATTCAAGTTAATTTAAGTGGTCAATATTGTTATCATTATGATGATGACGATGATGATGATAATGATAACTTGATGGGTGAGTCATTAATTGTGAATACATGATTGACAGAGCATTGAATCTGAAGCGGATGAAGATGATGATAGTCTTGATGTAACAATGATAATGTTTCAAAGTAAATTCATTAAATGATCAACTATTATTTTCATTGATTATGTCCAGAAGATGATGAAGATGAAGATGGACTATTGTTAATATTTCAACCTAACTCTCTCTCTCTCACTCTCTCTCCCTTTATATGTCATCTTCTTTGCATCTGAACATGATGATGATTATCTTCCTAATTCCTCTTCCTCTGGTCATCTATTGTTCATAAATTTTTCTCATGAAATGAATTCTTTTATTCCTATTCCAAGGACAGAAATAAACAATTGTTATCATAGTGCACCAACGATTCACATTGTATCATCATCATCATTATCATCTCCATCTTCATCTTCATCTTCATCATTATTGTTCAAGGCTTTGTCAGAGTAACAATGAAACTAATACCAACCATTATTTGGAAACTTATCAGTTATCAATGGTGATGAATTTCTCACTGATTGTTTACCATTTGAATCTCCCATGAATATTTCTCACCACGAACTTTATATATAAATGTATTGATATGAAAATCGAAAATTTCTATCAAAATTAATAATACATATTCGAACTTTTCTTTTGGAAAGTTTTTTTTCTATTCGAAAATTTGGAAAAAACTTTTGAAATATTATTTCAAAATTTCAGGGTAAATTATTCAGCCGATGATTGATGTTATTCAATTGATTGTGTCACTTTCATGTTATCACAATGATTAAATTGAAGATCAATTGATAATGACAATCTTATTATCATTCATATTGAATAATGATAATATTGTAATAACTTTGTATAAATAGTAGAGTGATGTTATCAACCATGATTATAATCATGATAATCAAACTCAGATCCTTCAATTGATTGTCAAAAATGTTCACATTGATATTGTTACATTAACACAATTAAATAAATGGCCTTTGCCTTTATCAATATGTGTCAAAATCATTGCTCTCAACTAAATAATAGATTCAAATAGTTACAGGATAAAGTTAATCAATCTGCAAACATCATCACAATTTATTAATCATCACCAATGAGGCAAAATCTGTATCAATATATAATTAAATCATTGACATAATTTTTTTTCCTCTCTCTCTCTCTCTTACTAATCAACAAGATGGATTAATGTTAATTCAGTTACAATAAATGATAACTTAACATTAGAAAGTTAGAGAGGAAAGAAAAACTCTTCAAGACAAATTATCATGATAAAAGTTCTGGTCTGATTCAGGAGATTGAGGATAATGATAATCAATTTAACAAAGGGAAAGAAAATCTTAATCATAATCAATCAATTGATGAGAATTGATTAATATTTAAGTTTCGAGATTTTTGGTTTAGACTAGTGGCTCCATCTTTTGTCAGGGAAAAGAAATGAAATGGAAACCAGGAAAATGGAAACAATTTCAAACTGAATCAATAAATTAATCATCCGAAGTTGAATAAGAAATTAGGTTAATTAGTCAACGATCATTGGTATTAAATAAATTAATCTAATATATTGTTAAGCATTCAAGTGATAATCATTTGATCAAATATACACAATGAATAATAATTAATGTAAATCGATTGAACCATTTTGATAGTT